TTTCTTGAAGCGAAGTTTATTATGATTGAACGCTTGAACTTTGAGTTATAACGGCCAACGCGGTGCGCCTTTTCTGTAGTTTTGGGTTTAATTTCCAGGTTTTTTTTTTAAATGTCTGGCAATATTTCCTGACTCATTCAATGTTTCCGAGTGGCTGGTGTCTTCTAATCCATGAAAGACTAAATTTTGCCTCCTTACATTTTTCAGTAAGATGACGAATTTTATTTTCTTGAACTGTCACTAATTTACTAGCATCCCCGATCGTCCCTCGGCTTTGTAAAGTTTGCCGTTTGTTTCATTCATCATAGTTTCGTGCTTGGTGAATCTGTGTTGTCAGTGATAAATCTAGCTGTCTTCATAATGGTAGTTTGGCCACTTCGTAGGGACTTTAGTAGTCCTATTTCAAAATCTGTGAGAGGACCAAAGTTTAGCTCCATGTTACCGGAAAGTAACAGCAATAAAATGAGGTACAACGCAGGGTGTGCAAAAAGAAAAAGGCGAAAACGTCTCTGAGACAATATCAGACGCGTCCGCCTAGCCAAAAAGTCCTCAACACTTGTAGTACTGGGAGGAGTCGGCTTCCCCCACTTCGGTAGGGAAGTGCGGGCTACGCATCAACATTATGGGCAGTTGGCTGCATATCGGAGAGTGTGTCGGCTCCGAATTCGTTTCTAGAAACTCCGAGCGGCAATCACAACGCTTGTTTTCCTAACCAACCTTATTTACACTCAGATCGCTGTGATGCAAGAGAAGAATCGTGCAGAAAAAAAGTGATAAAATTGTTCACTCTAATTTATATGCACCTTCGTGCTCAGATCGAATCTGGTTTGAAATATCGCGTACCTAAGTGAACATTTTCTTTTACACAATAAACTGCCACAACTTGGCTCTTGAGGTTTGTTTTTGACAAGATGCCGGTCAATTCAATTCGCAAATAAGTATCACCCTTGTTAATTTTTTTTGTTAAATACAAGAATCTAGTACGTTATGCTGTACTCGACATGGCAGTTATTTAATTGGTTATTTTCATTACCTTCTGAAGGTCTGCATGCGTAATCGTTCTAGTTCCGCCACGCCCTGTGTACTTTTGTTTTTGTTCAATCCACAGGCACATAAATTGCTATTCGTCACATAAAAGAGGCAATAACAGACACCTTTACGTTTGAGGCGTTATATATGTGTCAGGAACACATAGTTATTTAAATCAACTTCAAAACCTGAATTTTGGTTAAGGCTCTACCAGATCACTTCTACACGTGCCTATCGGTGATAAAAACGTCGGAAAACGTTTGCAGAACCTCTTTCAGAAAATTCGGAGGTGTATTTTCTTATGATGTATATCTTTGAGGTGATCGACCCTTTATTTATGTTGTAAAATCTTCAGGTAGTAGCCAAATATATTTTTGTTGTCATCAATAAATTCGACTCTTCACGTAACCGTTTGAGACCGACACGGGAGGACGATACTGGAAAATACGCCAGATGTGGAGCCGATCTGCGCAAACGTGTTTTTTTGTTTTGTTCGCTGCTTGGCAGTGTAAAACACCGGGCCGCAGGGTATGCAAAAGAAGGGTTTTGTGTTGACATGATAGATCTAAAGGTAAACACACGAAATATGCAGAAAGAGAAAGATAATAAAGGGTGTTTAAAAAAAAAATACGATACACAATACCTTACTGCAAAATAAAATGCATAGAGATGTAATGATATTCCAATTTACACATAAATAGCGCAAAGGACAGACGTAGATAGTTATACTCCCAACACATATCACATTTGGAAATCAGCTGTCGTGAACTCGAATCTACGCGAAATACCGTCCAATAGCGTAAGAGGACATAAAGTGAAAAATGCTTGTCCTCTCCTATTTCTTTCATGTTCCTGTACTCTTGCGATATTATAGATATGATGATCATTGCGGTTTTCACTTGCTCGGAAAATCAAATCCGGTCCACGCTTTTTGATCTGTGCCGAGGAAAAAGTAAAACGTTTTCAGAGCATACTTCTTATTCCTGAGAGACTCCCTCCAGCGTTTGGGGGTGTTAATTCGGCAATTCTATCTGTGTCACTTGTTAACAGTAATTCTTCATTGCTTTTATTTTGCACCCAGAAACTGTGAAGCTTAAAGAAATACACAGGTGGTCGCCGTTTGAAGAAGATCTTGAGAACGACACTCCTGTGAGACATAGAGCGGCTGCCAACGTTCGGCGCTCTCTCCGAGGCCACTAGGAATTTTCTTTTCAATTATCCCTCGCTTGCACATTTGTAGTTCTATGAAACGTAAGATCAAGTCCTTTCAATGCTTCTATTATCGGGGACAACTTTCTGAGGCAGTTCAGCAACAACGAAAACATGTTTAGGCGCCTCAATGACGTGTAAATGTAAAATAGGTCGTGCAATAATGTTTGTACTTTCAGTGAATACCGCCAAGAAATAATTCGTGATGTTGATGACTTGCAAAATCATTCATTTGTTTTCCTCTCCGCGCAAAGTCAGACGCAAAAAAAAGAAAGAATAAAGGCAGGAAACAGCTTTTTCCTTCTAAATTCACAACTAGAACAAGCGGCCACGTGATCTGACGCTAATTATATACCGTCAGTGTTCATCACAGTCGTGCGCTGGGGTTGGCAAAGCGTAAAGCATGGGCTCAGCTTCAGACATCGGTAGAGCTCGGCTATTCCCATCTTTGATTGAACATTTGGCGATGATGATCGTCACAAACCCGAGCAGATGACAATCGAGCACGCCACGCGGTGTCACGTGACTCGCTGGGCGAAATCATGACGTCACTTGACGTCACGGCGCCAACAACGCTAATAAATCTAGCGACGTTCTATTTTTAAATCGACTTGACGCAGCGAGTCACATGACGTGACGTGACATTACTCGACAGCACGTCTCGACACCTTGACGTTACGTGACCAGGCGACACGCGATCAAGCGATACACAAAAAAAAAACAACAAAAAAAAACAACACGAAAGCCCATTATTTCTTATACATTGCAGTTCTGTACATGGCCGTATATGATCGATACATAGGAAAATACAGCTGCCAATTTTGTATTCTCAAATAGTCATTTTGTAATACTACCGTAAACCGTTTTAAACCGGTTATTGTTATACTGTTGTTGGTTTTCCGGTTCAGTTCCCGTCCACTTCCAAGATGGCGGCGAAGATTTCGGTTCGGTTCAGTTCCGGTTCAGCTGGAAATAACGGTTCGGTTCGGTTCCGGTTTGACACTCTGGACAGAATTACCCGAGAATACGCTTGGAGCATGTTCGAAGCTGCTTTATACATACGTATGCTTTGCACATGTCTGCAGACAGTGCTATGACCGGCGTACAAGGACGGTGCCACATTGGCACGAACTGCACATACGCTACAACAGACGACTCGCACATGCGCAGTTCTTACCGGAGGGCCCTCCGTATACCGTACCGGATATGAAAAAAACGGTTCCCTAAAACTCTCTCCTGTCTGCAGACTGTCTTTTGTACGATGGTAGTATAACTGGGCGACGGCGGCTTTAAGACCCTGTCACACTGAGGCAACACGACGTCAACAGCAACACAAGACGTTGTCCAACAGTCGGGCAACTTGCTGCTCGCTCCCATCCGACAAACCTGTCACATCACGGCAACAGCAACACGATATAAACGAGAACAAAAATGTTGACTCGGTATGACAGCTTTCGACAAGAAAAACAGCAGCAACTTCTGTTGGACAACGTTGGACAACGTGTGTTGCCCTGATCGCTGGCTGAGCGAATTTCGGGCTGGCAACACGACAACACAGATAGCTTCGATGGCAGAGGTAGTCCCCTATCAATAACGTCTTACGTAAATAAATGCTTGGAAAACGTTATTTAACAATAATGAAGGCTCGCGTGCAGCTATAATTGTTTGATGAATGTGTTTATTACGTAATTAAAGAAAACGACTGTCGAAGTGGTCAAGCTACGGTCGTGAACGTTCAGACTGTAGGTGTTTTAATTAGTACTGCCGAGTGACCAGCTCATATTACTGTATAGTGAAATAAAATGTCATGCCTACTCACCCGCTGATAAAGTATAATAAAAATAATCCAGGAAAGCAAAGACTAAAAAATTCGAAGCATTAAAACGACTACTTTGACTGTGATTGTTGATGCTTGGAACTTGGAAACAGCCGCTACTAGACACCTGATTTGTTTATAAAATACTCTGGACGTTTTGGGCAATGAAGCGATCACATAGCAGGCGGTAGCCAAATAGACAGCGTTGAAAAATATTTATTGCACCAATTGTGTTATGAAGGCCGACTATGTCGGTATCGAAGTTTTTAAGCACTGTCACTTCAGCTGAATACCACTCTACAAAAGACGCTTTGGGGTACTGACGGTGCTATCTCAATTTCAGAGTAAAAATAGGAATTGCATGAAAGAAAAAAGCGGACAGAAACACTTCATACGCTGGCGTAAATCTTGAACACATTCAAGCGATCTCACTCCCCTCGGGTAGGGCTATCTGCTTTGTCAGCGAACGAAGAACATTTTGATAAAATAAAGGGTGGAAAATACCTCCCGTGTCAAGTTTTCCAATCAAAGTCACTAGGTGATGTCGTCCCGTAATAATTTCCGGCCCTTCGAACGCAGTAGCATTTTGTACAGTTACATTTCCAGCGCCGCCGCGCCGCACACGAACGAAGGCAAAAAATCAATATGGCGCAGTGTTTGTTTCCCGTGTTGTCCCCGCCGTCAGTGCGGTGTGACAGGGTGGTCGGACGACAAATTGGCCAACACGGTTGCCGGGCGGCAGCAACTTATTGCCGGACTGTTGTTGCCGCGGCGTGACAGGGTCGCCGGCAACACGATTTCCTCGTGTTGCCGGATTGAGTTGTCCAGCCGTTGCCTCAGTGTGAGAGGGTCTTTAGAGTGCGTATGTCGAGCAGTTGCGACCTTGCCCGCTCACAACACGCTTCCCCCTCTTTGTCTTCTGTATACAGCGCCAACATCTCGCCAGCGCCGAGCACACGGACGGGCGTCACTACGGGGACGCAGCGTGCGCCATGGGAGCCTACTCCCAACTCAAGCTGGTGCTATGGAAGAACGTCGCACTTCGCCTGCGCCAGCCGGTGAGTACCTCTATAGAATGCTTCCGAGTTTCACATATTTTCGCTCTTGCGTATAGCGTAACGGGAGTGTCAAAACGATCCACTAAAACTCTCTATTGATAGGATTCGACACCGTTTGCCTCCCTTCGAGGAATCTCAACAAATCAAGTAACCTTCGCCACATTAAAAATAAAAGAAGTTTTTAGATTATTTTGTCGGGCAAACCAACCCCTCCAACCATCCACGACGTAGGATGTAAAAGCAAAAGAATCTGGTTTGACAATATATATATATATATATATTTTTTTTATTTGTGGGGGGGGGGGGGGGGGATTTTTTTTTTCTCCTGTAGTCAGGAGCTCTACTTCGTTTTAACATACGATGAACCGCGGAGGGACAGTACGAGCCTCCGTAACCAATCCAATACCACGTGAACGTCAGATGACCTTCGTAGGGTGTGCAGCGGCGACGCGCGGGGCAGGTAGTCACGTGATTAAAATTCCGGCGCTTTATTGGCTCGGATGGCTCAGCGCCCACCGTGAGGTGAAACGAAGTATAACATATTTATGGACAACAGGACGGAGATGGCCGAGACGAGGGCTTCCATTACGCGAAAGCTTCTTATCTTCGGAATCGGACCACGTGATTTGAGTGATCGGTATTCTCCCCAACGTGCATACCGCCCGAGGCCCCGTCTGTATTTTTTTGTGTAGTTAGTTTTATATTCCGGGTGACGTGATACGAGACCTCTCAAGGACGCGAGGAGAGGGAGACCCGTCGAGAAGCGTTCAGATATTCTCCGTTCATCCTAAGCTGACAGCACTGGAGGAGCTACGCGCTCGCCAGGCCAGTCAAACACCTCCCCCCCTCCCCCTTTTATCACGTGACCCTACCTCTCGCGCGTGGGTATAGGCGGGAGCGTGATCACGTGATGAAAGATAGACGTGCGACCGGCTTAACAAGCACGTAGCTTCCACCGCACTGTCAGCTTGGGGGTGAAAGGGGTTACAGCAGCGAAAGCGGTTCGCGGCGGGAACAGGTAGCGCGCGTTCGGGTGTTAACAAACGGGATGCAAACAAAATGAGAATCTACACGCGAGGCCGCTGCGTCTGCAAGGTTACCCGTCTGGTTTTGCGTTTGACGCTTCGCGACCGAAATGCGGTATTTTCTTCCGCGAAACGACGCGACGACGTGTTGACGTGTTCACGTATTGCGAAGCGTGATGCATGAAATGGGGAGTTTGTATCGGTCGTTTAGCGATCGTGCGACGCTCGTTCTCGGCCGGGCAACGAACGCTCGCGCACGTTTCTAGGTGTAGCATCCTCGCGTTTGTCGCGTTGCCGTGTTTGTCGCGTTGTCCCTCCGTACGGTGCTGGTATATTGTTTATCTTCTTAATAATGAAAGAGAGGAAAAGAAAGCAAGAAGAAATATACATTTTTCAACACCCCATCAGGGAACATGGGTGGTCGCCATTTCTTGGGCACGAAGTGTGTGATTGGGTCCGAATCCTCGCCGAACGCTGACGTCAGCACTCGTTCGCGACACGAGCTGAGCCGAGTTCACGCCGAACGCTGACGTCAGCACTCGTGTCCAGTACATACGCGGCACGCGTTCCCGAACAATGGCGGACCTAGATAATTTGCGCAGCACCTTCTGGATGGCGCCTACGGTTCCTTGATGTTAGTCGCTCAGACGACAGAGAAAAATATATTACGAAAGAAGCGGGAATGGTGCTGGAGTTAAAAGAATAAGGAAAGGATACACGTTTTGTTTGTCGCACTACATATACACCCTGTTTAGTCGAACAGTTTTATAAAAAAGAAAAGCTGTGGAATGTAGACTAATGCGGTCTGTGCAGGTGAGTTATGCGGTCAGGAGAACATAATTTAGGGGGCTAATCCTCACGATAAGAAGGATAATTAACTAAAGTTTGCTAGTTGACTTTTGAATGAGTGAAGATAAACATACATTTCTAATTAGAGACTTGGCAACCGTCGTCTGAAACCGCTAAATCACTCAATTTTAGAAAAACGAAAATTTAAAGCGCGTAGGAAGCGCGGGGTTGCACTAAAGGTTCCACCCGTGCAACAGCAGCAACGCTGGCGGTTCAAGAATGCGGATGAAGAGATTTTCATACGCGTTCTAGATGATGCACAGAAAGTTTCTGATTATAACTATATATTTATTTTCGCTAATTAACAAGTGAACGAGCACAGGTTAAATAATTATTCTATTCATTGTGAGTATTACTCCCCTATATTATATCTACCTTGCTCTACAACTCACCTGAACAAACGGTGATAGTCTACCTTTCATGGTTTAAAAATAAAAATAAGTCTGTTCGAATTAAAATCAGACACCCTGTATATCTGTATTTGTCAAACCTAACACTAGGCGAAGAGCGAGTAGATACGATAATAATGGTTGTTATGCGTGATTTTTGCCACGCGTAATTTCCGTACGTTGTGGCAAACTTTGAACATGTTGCCGAGAAGGGTGGAAAAGAAAGCCAGCCAGAAACGAAAAGGAAGCCGCGAATTTAGTAACGATGAACGTTCAATACTCCAGAGAGGGCGACCAGAAAGAAAGTGGCAGAAGAGCATTTTACCTGATTGCTTAATGGACAGGTTCGATCGAAACACCCACCAGTTTCGTTCCTAACGTTTCAACGACGTTAGCATCCGGTCAGAATACTCACCTGCTCCCACTATAAGTCAGATATGAATTACAGAAATGTAAACGAGCCGCCACTGACAATAAGGTATCCAAAATCGTCCAAGCAGACTTTTTAAATCAGGATATTGACTCAATCTCACGTTCGTATTTGAATCGTGATCAAGACGGCATCGTAACGACACTAACTGTCGCGGTTCACTCTTTGTCATATTTAGAACCTTTACATGACAGATGCGAGTTGCTGATGAAATTTTGTTTTTCGATGCAGGTAATCCTGGCCTTGGAGCTTTTGTGGCCTGTTACCATCTTCCTTCTAGTTTTGCTGCTAAGGAAGATTGTGCCTCCAATATCACAAGAAACATGTAAGATTTTCCGCCTTGTTCGAGAACAAAGAAGAGAGTGCAATTTCCGCTTGAGAGCTTGTGTTTCTATGAGAAATTACTTACTGAATACTAAGGCACTCTTTTTGCTCAACTTAGGTTACTACAACGCCAGGGCGCTTCCTAGCGCTGGTGGCTTGCCTGTTCTGCAGTCCCTTATTTGCAATGTAGACAACAAGTGCCTAAACAAGTCCACGTACGAAGAAATCCCTAGCTATCCGGGCTCAAGGTAGGAAAAACAAATGTTTATGCGTTTTTTTTTTGCGTGTGATACAATTTTTTTTTGTACGTGAATTATAGTAAACCCTTATTAACATACCTTATGTTGCCTATTTTCAGAGTGAACGAACTAGTCCATAATTTATCTCCTTTAGTCAAGAACAAGAACATTCTCAGTGTAATAAAAGCCTTACCAGTTCTGGCTGACCTACTGCGACCTCTCGGAAGTTTGTTTGATGACGAGAGTATCCAAAAGTTACTCGGTAAGTCAAATGAAGTCGAGTCAAGCCAAATGTTTATTTGTTGAAATAGTTGTTACGTCATACGATATTTCTTTATGCAGGGGTCCCAAAGCTTTTAAAGCAAACTCTCGAAGGAACCCCTCGTTAATACAACTTTATGAAAAGTTAGCCCAGAATTTAACATCAATCCAATAAAGAGCATTGTACACAAACGAGAGCAATGTTACAGAAAACAAAGAAGCAATTGTGGTACATACGTGATAGAAAGAAAGATACAAAACCAATTGAAACGCAGAAAAAAACAAGAACATTATTCAATTTTAATTCACAATCTAAAACATAAAAAAATTATAGATACTATAAAAAAACTTCTAAAAGTTAAGAAAAAAAAAAGACCCAAAAGGTGAGACAAAAACGACGGGAAGAAAAAGACAGCCTGCATCAAATTTCAGCATCAACCAATGAGAACGCCGAAAAACAAATCAAGAAGCAAGAACAAGCAAGAATCAACGTTTCTTAAACTGTCACGATAAGATGCTCGGTACCCTCAACGTCCTGCCTTTTTTAAGTTGATAGGGAATGTAACTAGGCTTTATTATCAAATGCTACGTTTTCTTTTGTCTGCACAGACAAGGGCCTGCCATTCACGGACGTACTCAGTAACTCGCGACGGGCCAGGAGCATTCTCATGAAGGAAACGAACATGACATCTGAAACCGCACAAAAGCTCCTGGAGTCACACATCAACGTTCCTGCGGTTCGTGCATCGGAAGTTTGCAATTTAGTAAAGACTGTCGGGCATTTTTTTTTTGTTCATTTGAGGTGCATATTGTCTTTATTTTCATTTGACGGAAAGGGCAAACTGTATTCCGCTCTAAAGTTGCATTGTGGAACTCTCCAGAAATACTCGATATTAAAATATAATAAATACATCACAAAAAAAGACATGGACTGATCAAAGAAGTACATAGGACGAGCGCTGCACCAGTTCGTTTCTTTCTTTTGTGCGCTGTAATTATGTGTTATATTCATTAACCAACTCGCATGCATCGCCTCTTTAGCCCAGACATAAAGGTGAATATAAATTATATCTTCATCATCACATGGTTATATAACATTTTAAAGTGGATTTTGAATAGGATGAAATTAAACTTTTGAAACTGATATAAGATATAGATGCATACCTCAGGTTTTAGAACAGAATATGTTGCGCGATGTTTTATGCTTCGAGGCAATTGTTAATAAATGCGCCAATAAACAAAAAGCGCACGTGTGTGCTGACTATTTTTTTGCAGCCATCAGTAATTTTGCGAAAAATCAATTCGCCATATTTGAGATGTGTTCAATTCAGGTATGTTTGTGTAAAGGTCAAATCTTTACCACGAAAACAATAGCACTGCGCATCACAGTTGAGCGGTGTTGCCGTTGGCTACACTTTACTATTTATTACGTTAAATTTAACTCCTACCTGTGATTGTGTCAAGATATTCTTTAGATGAGAACCTGTATAGCACGTGTTAAAGAAAAGGAAAGAAGCCCAAACACTAATTATCCGTTGCATTTCACATATTTGTTTATATCTAAATGTTTAGGTGCTAAATGTGTCTTTGTGTTCATTCCTTTAGGTCCTGCATTTCTTGGGGAAACAACAAAGTCCAGTACCATTCGAGTGCAATCTGAAAACATTGAGATCATTTATTATCTCCAAGGGTGATGATGACTTACAATCAGTGGCTTATTCCTTGTGCAACATCAGCGATGACGGTCTAAGAAATCTCGTCAAAGAATTCCAAGCCGCGCTTGACTATGGAAAAATCGTTGACTTGGTATGATTCCCCAGCTTTCTGTATTTTTTGTTGACTCTTTTAGACAGTTGCCTTTCAAAACACGACTTTTAAACAGGTATTTTTTTTTCTTTCACAGGTGGCGAATGCTGTAACAAAACTCGGTCGTAGCGATATTGGGCTAGCAGTGAAGCAGGTTGCTGGCTTGATCTCAACTTTAACCAGAATAACTGCAGAAATTCCAGCTGATTTTGCTGCAAGCGTGGAAGCTTTGAGAGCCTTAATACTGGACTTTAGTAAGGGAGGATTCAACGCCAAAATGTAAGCAACTATTTTTGGTGAAATTTTTGTTCGTAATATTTTGAGAAATGTAAGTCATTATAGTCAATGTCAGTTTAATAAAAGCAGGCTGTGGCGAGTCCTGATAATTTTATCAGTCCGCGGTCAACGAGATTGCATAATTAGACTTTAAGAACGTTGAGCAATCAGGGTGCAAGAAGCATGAGCATAATATTCATCGCCCTGCGCTACATTAGCTTTTTCATGAATGTGTGAGGTGTTTAAATGGATGAAACAAAATGCACGCCTATTTTCCAGAGTGACGAACATTTGGGATGATTTCTCCGATTTGGTTCCAACCTCAAAAAGAAAAATCGCGGATACCGTTATGAAATGGATGACCAACGGATTTGGACATGATGGTAATGTGTTCTTTTTAAACAAACAATTTGAGTTATGTAACCGCCTTGCAAAAGCTATAACTATATCTTGAATAACGTAACAGTGTTGCGCAAAGCTTTCTTTAACGTCCTACTTTGTGCCTTTACATGCGTGTCATTCAAAGGATCGGAGAAAACCAGTTCAGACGACCTTCCTTCCAGAAGCCTGGACGGCCTGGATGAGGTAACGTGACAGGGCAATCTTAATGTTAAAAATATGAGAAGTCACCCACAGTGTGTACTGATAAGATGAATTGATTTTGTTCCTTGCAAATATTTCGACAGGGGTCCACCGAAGATGTCTTCAAGTCTGCCGTTGACCTGGCCAGCACTCTGAGCACAGCTACGTCTGGTTCAAAGTCACTGCGCCTTTTGGAATCAATTCTTGGACTTAATGAATCTACCACTCTGTAAGTAACGGTTTAAACTGTTGCATGTGCGCCAACTTCATTGCGTTGCGCAAAAACAAATATAGTACACTATAACTAGGAGGAGTGAAGACATTGGTTGTTGGAGGATTTTTCTTGGGAGTAAAATATATTTACTTCTTTATTTAGTCAAGCTATATCTTACAGCGCTCAGAAGAGGGCATTATTCAATTAACGAAAATGAACATTCGTTTTGTAATTAGCTTAACTGTGAGTGATAAGCTCCTTAAGTTAGTCAAGCTCATTTTAATGCTAAATGTGGTTGCCTTTTGAAAACTCTGCTCATACATTTAAGTAACCACACAAGATTCCTTTTTTTTGCGAAGTAAAAAATGCCATTTAAAAAAGAGGAGTATTGTAAGGTTATATTAATGTACGCAGGAATTTTTTTAAAAAAGACAGGCATATGATGTAAGCAAGGTTTGGTTATCAATAAATAATTCAGTTGCATGAGCTAAAATAATAATTGAGGTTGTTTTAAATAATTAATAGAGAGCAACTGAAACTAGCTTTTGGCGCGGGACAGTCATGCAATATTTTAATAACGTATTTGCACCAAAATCGCAAGCATTGAAAAATGAAGCTTTAGAAAGTCATGTTGCACACTCTGCTTTTATGAAGAAATAAAACAATGAAAGGACCAGTTGACTTACTAAGGGTGATATCTCCTTTGACCTTTTCTATAAAGCGCGCAAATTATTAACTTATCTGACTTGCGAGCGCGCTAAATGATTCTTATATGTATTAAAATGTGTACGAGTAGCGTGCTATAGAACACAGAGACAGGCAAAAATGATTGCACTATTACAGTTAAAATGGAGCACCGTGCTATTTACAATAACGCTCTTACTTTTGCTTTGTTATAGTGAGCGGGTGGTAGAAAATGAAAGGTTGATAGTAAAGCTAAAAGCATCAAAATGTAAGGAACTACATAATATAAAAAAGCTAGGACGAACATATAGAGCATTATGGGTAGAAGTAGCAGTAGGTACCCTGTCACGTCTTCTACGTAATTTGTTAAGTCTTGATTGTTGAGTGTTACCAGTTTTTCTGCAATAGTTCTAAGAACAGCATTCCGGACTTCTAGAAATACTTCTTAATGTTTACCGCTCTGATATATAGAGGTTGCTGAAATAACCAGGTTCGATCTAAGATGAACCCTAAAAATCGGCACCTGCGCGTAGAAATTTAAACTTGTCGTCAAAGTTGCATTTCACAGGTGGTTTTTTTTTTCTTGTAAAATTACCAAGCGTAACTTTCTTTTTGTAAAAATGAATAAATAAATACAAAAACTTGAGAGATTTTTTGCCCCGTGAAGAGGGAAGTCCAGCGAAGCTGGCGCTCTGGTAGGATTTGCTCTGTTGGGGTTAAACTTTCTTCGGAACCTCGAGGTCGCGCCGGGGAAGCGTTCCAATGGTTTGGCGCCGCGGTGAAATGCGTCGCGCTTGCGTCTGGCTTCTCTTGCTCGATCATCGTCGGTAGCATTGGCTCGACGGCGACAATTGAATTGACGCTGTTGCTCGTGTCGGCGCTCGACGCGGGCGAGGTCTTCGTCGGGGGGAGCTTGGTGGGCACTCGAAGTTGTTGTCGAGCTGGGAGCAGCGGCAACGGCGGTTTCACGTTGGCAGCGCGCCAACACTCCTCGCACTATCACTGCTCCTCTTCGGAACGTACAACACGGGTGCGACCCATTTGAAGTCTGAAGTGCAACTGAAAAGGACAGTGGCGCGATCTCTACGTCACAGGTAAAGGACACACGCAATTGGTGTGTAGAGACAATGACGTTTTATTATAGCGCGCCTGCGTCAATCACAGCGCAGGCTCTTGTGCGCCGCACAGGTGGCCGCCGAAGAGCGCGCGGCATTGCGCAATGTCAGGGGGGGAGAGAGACGCCGCGCGTGGCGAGGAGTATACACGACTCGGGAAAGAGGCGGCGGCGGTGGAGAGGAGTATAAAGTAGGGAATAAGTTGTTGCGTTTGAAAATTGTTGGTCTACACTCGGTCTGTCGCCGGAGACGATCCGCCAGAACCTAGCCATAGACAGCTTCGCTGTAAAAAAAAAAAATAGGGCCAAAAAACTTGAAAGCGTCAACGGCGGAGGGCGACGCTGACGACCAAGGCGAGTGATGGGGCGCGATAGTCGCACGTATTGATGATGGCGCTAGATCCTTATCGAGACTGCCTGCGAACACCCGTGGTCTACTAAAACGAACATGATCTATTTGTAATGTACCTTTAATTTAAAAATAAATCCGGACAATAAAAGCAAAACTTGAAGTAAAGAAAAAAAGAAAAAAACGCAGTTGCATAACGATGGCGCTTTTGCTACCGACGGATTTCGTTAGCATGCCGTCTGCTTTGTTTCGCTGGTCGATTACAGCTTCAGACGTTTCCAACACCGCTCCCCACGCCGTCCATCAACAAATGCATTAAACGTGCCCCGCCACTCGACTCGGTCTTTTGTGTGTCCGTCCGCCGTTGACCATGGCAAGTTTTAGGCTCCATTTTGTTTACAGAAAGAGAGCTAAGCTTTGTGATTTTACAAGATAAAACTGGCCTGAGAAATACACCTTTTACGAAAAGTTTAGATTGCTACGTGGAGGCGCCGATTTTTACGGCCCACTTTAGATCGAGCGTGGTTTTTTCAGACACCCTATATACTAATTGAAGGACTATAGTCCGTACACTCAAAGAGATCTGGAGCGATTTCTCTCGCGCAAGGCACGTGGGAGTACTAATCGCTGCATTCTACAGAGGGCGCTCGGTCGGTACATGACGGGAGGCTATGTTTAAACTTGAAAAAAAATACAACCTGCGTTTTTGCATTGAGCATGACGTTTCATCGTGCTCAGTGCTACTGCGGTGACCGTTTTTTGGCGTCTAATTTCTAAACATATAATCAGCCCCGTCATTCGCCGATCGCCCTTTGTACATTGCAGCGACTGACCTTGCAAGTGCTTTGCGCGAGAGCAGACGCTCCAGATTTCCCCGAGTGCACCCAGTGTGTAATCCTAAATTGTGGCTGAAAAACAAAGTTCTTCCTTAGACAGCTTCCATCCGCTGCATAGAGTGTGCACCTAGCGCATAGTCCGCGCCTGATGCATACACCCGAACGCAGAAGAACAAAACAAAAACATTAGCATACAGAACATAAAAAAAATATCCTGCTTTATTAGCGCACACACATAAAAAAGGGTTGTATAATCGAAAATCATAACTATCACATTTCTGCCATCTACAAATCCGTCAAATCTGGTTATGATGAACGACCTTGAAAAAAATGTACGTCCACATCTGTAGATAGTCCACACCACGTGAAATTAAAGACGTTTGAAACATGTATAGTCTCGGACTAAACTCTGAAAACTATAATACGTTTCTCATTGTTAAGCTACGCCAATTGGAAGCATCAGCTGGTCTTATAGCGTAGTTTTGCTGTTTGCATGACCTGCATATTTTCGAATATTTCGCGACTTGGAGTGGCGCGAGAATAACTCAATTTGCATATTTGTTACAGGTTAAAAGTTTTTGAAACAATCAATGACCTTGTGTCGTACAATGATGGCTCACAAACGTCACCAAGCTTCATCTGGCGTCATCAAGCTCTATTTACTACGGGTAGAATCTTTGGAACTGCCGTCGAATTTGTTCTGTCAGGTATGAAATTCCGATGTTTATTTTGCAATCACTTTTTCGTACACGACCCGAGTATGTGCATAAAAGCTGTTCATATCTTAATCTAATTTTTCAGACATCAAGATGAGCGAAGAGACTGGAGTGAGACCTTTCTTTCCACACATGCTGGACAGCTTACTGTCAACCATTTCCGTGCCAAGTCGGGTATGATTCATTAATCTATTTTGAAATCACTCGCTGCCATTCTTGTCGGCGGTTCTTTTGTCGTTGCGATAATGGTATGGTTGCATTAGAGAAATAAACTTCATCTTGTAGAAGGTCCCTTAGCCCCACCTTTTCCCTTCTCGAACACGCTAACGAGCCCTCACTTTCGAAATAAATCTCTCAATTATTATTATTTTATAGAAACACAGGGATCGTCGTCTTAGATCAAAGAAAACAATGTCTGACAACGATGGAAGGCGATGCGGAGCACAAGTTCGTCTGCTCCTTGCACTGGGGTTGTGATATTGTCAGAACACCGATCTCTTATTGGCTGATGGAAACATATAGTGGATAGACCTCGAGGCATCTAGCCTTGAGGTCTACCCACTATTCTTTCGATCCATGCCAATCAGAACTCGGTGTCGTTATGACGTCGCCGTAACCCCTGCGCAAGAAAGCAGACGGCTTGCTCTCCGAATCGGAAGCTAGACTAATTCATTATATCATAGACACTGAGAGCTTGAAAAACGCATGGTGCGACTTGCTATGTTTAAGCTTCTCGCTTCCTGACTGGTGGTTTTTGTGCGTTCTCATCGGCTAATGCAACAGTCTGATTGGCTGCCGAGTGATATTGAGATGCACGGAGCTCGCCACGCCCTGCGCTTCGTAAGCTGTCAGTGACTATACGGAGCGCAAGTTTGTCTGCTTCTTGCGGAGGGGCTGCAATGACGTCAGAATGTCGATCTCTGATTGGCTCTGACGGAGGGATAGTGGATAGACTTAAACGGTAGCTGCCTCGAGGTCTACCCATTATCTTTCCAATCGGAGGCGTTCTTACGTCACAGCAACCCCTGCTCAAGAAGCAGACGAGCTTGCACTTTGCATAGATGAATTCATAGTATCTAGTCAAGGGAAGTATCCTTGAGTCAGATCATATGAGAGAACGGCAGAATTGCAAGAATATAACAACGGGATATTAAGAGACATCGCCGTTTGATATGCTGCCTATCGAATTATTGAATGTACCCGTTTTCTTTTGTTATTTACGTATGTCATACTCCTGCACAGGTCAACAGACTATTGTCAGAAGGACTTGTGAACACTGTCTGCAACGAGACAAGATTTAAAGCTGTTTTTCTAACCGAAGTGGACAGCGGACCCTTGCAGAGCTTTACCTGTCATCTGTTCAGAGATATTTTACCAGCAGTGAGTATCGTACCGATAAAGTTGACAATACTCGACTATTTTCAGAATTGTATGTTGCACAAGATTTTTAGCGTTATTTGTTTTCCGAAATATTTTTGTAATAAAGCAGGGTTATAAGATAAAAATGAAGAAATTGTTGCTTTTAGATGAGCTCCCTCTGCGATGATTCTAATGCAGCGGTTTTCTAGAGCACCCTGTGACAACCTTATTTTATAAACCTCAATATTCTTTTGACTCTATAGGCACGTAGAAGCCTTTTCAAGTGAGAGGTGTGGTTAAAAAAGAAATACAAAAAATGTTGAGTTGTTGTTTTAAAGTAATAATGCAGTTTATTTGATACAATCGTATACGAAGTGTGGCTATAAAAAAAAACACCAAAACGTTGAGTTGTTGTTTTATAGTAATAATGCAATTTATTTGATACAATCTTGTATTGGTATTTCTCAGCGGCTCCTGAAGCAATATGCAACCCACAACAACCGGCCGTCACCATTCGTTATTTAAATTCATCTAAAATATTAACAGAAGCAAACCTTTTACTACAGCTGCTCAAGGCCTTCCATGACCCAAGAAACACGAAGACGGCTGTGCCTGAGGTTTGGGACCCTATGAGCTTACCGATGACCGACATCGCGGCGTTCTTCGATAAAATTACGAGTTTAGAAAAGCCAAATTACGACTGGTCGACAATTTCCAGGACAGCCGACAAGTTTGGAGAGATGTTGCGATCTAAGCACAGTGATGACAGGTGACTCTTTTCTTCATTTGTACCGCTATACACGACTGAGCTCTGTTACGTCACGCCGCGATGGTGGCGCGTCGGTCGCACTTCCGTTCTGGGGCTGTGAGCTGAAGTGACTATGCGGGACGTGCATTCCTGTGCTTTTTTGGAAGAAACAAAACAAAAACCTGACTTCTCGTTAAAACGCCGCAACTGGGGCTGTACAAGAAGAGTCGGGAAAGGTTTGAAGATCAGTTTTCATGTGTTTTCTGCTTGCTCGGTTCGTCTTAAAATGTGGATAGGTGCCGTGAAAAGGGAAAACCAGACGTTGTCAGACCACGAATGCTTGTGCGGAAAGCATTTGGGTTGGACTCACGGATACCTTCTGTCAAATGTATTTGTTTTGTTCCAACATGAACGTGGGAAAACCGCACTGTACGGGCCACCCGCGGACTACGTTCAGTGCGTCTTCAAGGTAAAACTGCCGCCTGATCACTCAAACTATCGCCTGCTCTTTCAAACTTGTCTGCTTGTTGTCGTCTGCTCGTTCAAACGACAGCGGACCGTAGACCAAACGATAACTCGGCAATTGCGATAAGAAGTGCAGGCCTCAAAAAACTTGTAAGTTTGAAGGTTGTTTGGGGTAAGTAGGCTCGATGTAAACAGTAGATACAGGGAGATATTGATCATTGTTATTAGTTGCCATCACCGATTTGTTATGCCTGATTCACCTGATCCCACCCTGTGTGCGAATTTTAGTATCGACGCCGAGCATCGCTGCTGCCGTCCACGCTTTTCCAGCCCGAGTGACGCCGCGACAGAGAATACGAAGCAGAATCTCACCATGATTTTAGCGTCCATTCTGCGGTGTTCATGCGAATGAATCGCCACACGTCACATTATTTACGTGAAGTTTTGCGAAAACTACCCTTGTTAATTTCAGTCAGGCCACTAAAGTGGCAAGACATTGCTAGAAATACGTAGAATCAACCATTTCGACGCGAAAAAAAGAGCACGGGGACTCACACCGACGCCGACAACAGGACATTCCAATGGTTTGTTGACGCGGGACGCGGCGCTTAATTCTAGCGCACACTCCACAAACCGTTGCGCCCCTAGCGGCGCGCCGGTGGCGTGCCGCTAGGGGCGCAACGGTTTGTTTATAAGCATGAGTTGGTGTATATTGTACAATCTAACAAAACGTTTGTGGGCTGAGAGAATCAATTTTACACGAACACCTTATCGCTATAAAATATTCCTCTATCCCTTCATAAACATAATTAACCCGAATCTTTCCCTCTCCCCACACCGCGGATTCATCATTTCCGCCGATCCACAAGCGGTCCCTGAAACATCAATGGTGGAAAACCACTGCTCTAGGACAAAGTAATCAACATCGATGACTCCGCTCCACCAGACATCGCGTGTTGAAAGAAAAAGAAAAAAAAAAAGACGTTTACAAAATTCTGTAATGCGAAACTAGAGCGCAGCTCTTGAGGAGGAGGATGGGATGTTACGGAGAGGAGGGTATGCCTCTCCTCCTCCTCCGTACCCCCTCCTCCTCCTTTTCCCTTCTCCCTCTCTCCCCCACTCGCTCCTTCCCGCCTCCTCTCCTCCTCCCGCTGAATTTGTTCATGGGCGTGACACGAAGTCATGTGACGTCATTTTCCCCGCTAAGTTTAGCGGGGAAACTTAATTGGTGTTGAGGTCACGTGACGTCAATTCTCCCTAAATTTAGCGGGGAAATCGACGTCACGTGACCTTAAAGGGGCACTGACACCCCAAAGGTCGTATTTTCTTTTATTGTCTAAAACGATGCAAGTTGCAGTCATAGACAGGCAAAAAAAAACGCATCGCCAAAAAAAAAATTTCCCGCGCGAGCGCGCGCCTTTTTATTTTTGCCGTTTGATTCTCCCGCCTTCGCCTCCTCGCTTCTTTTGATTCGTGACGTCAAGAATCATGAAATTTAGAAGCTTTGTAGGCGGCATCTCTATAACATTTAATAACGGCAATCCTAAAACATGCTTTTTAACGCAATTGCGAACGCACTACGGCCCTTCTTTTTGAAATACCAAAAATCGGAAGTTCGTTGTGGTGCCGTCTCCTGGATTTGTATCCTCCGACGGAAAACAGGCGACACCGCTCAAAACCGGTCCGCCGGGCGCTCGCTCCTTTCCTCCTCGCTTTGGGTCGCCATGGCAACAGCAGGGAGTCGTGAAAAAAAGTGGAGTCTCAGGACTCCGCAATATTTGACGTCAACGCGCCGGCGCGGATAGCGCGGGAACTTCGAATTCGGCATTTGGAAATTGTTTTTTTACTTCACAAATACTGAATTCCCAAATTTCAAATTTTGAGGGTAATGTCCCGGCATTGTTTTCAATCGTTTCGGATAATAAAAAAAATATGATTTTGATGTGTCAGTGCCCCTTTAACACCAATTCAGTTTCCCCGCTAAATTTAGCCAGGAAAATGACGTCACCTTACCTTGTGTCCGTCACCCATGAACAAATTCAGTTTCTCCGTTAGATATGGAGGGAAAATTGACGTCACGTGACCTCAACACCAATTCAATTTCCCGCTCAATTTAGCGGGCGGTTACGCCGACGGCGACGCCGCGAAACGCGGAAACGAGCGCTTAAGAGCTGCGCTGTAAAAGCCGGAGCGCACACTTTCTTACGGAACACGCAGAAGTCAGGCCCTGCGAACTACGGAATTAAGGGTCATAGCGAATGACAAAGCTCAGGATGGGGTCAGACCAGAAAATGCTACGTGCGCATTGCGCTGATAAACATGAGCATAACGCTTATTGCTATTTTATTTTATGAGCGCTTCGCATATTTCAAGTGCAATCCTGTTCTGAGCTCCATCCCACCTCATCTCCCGTCCATGGGGCTAAATTTGACATAGGCAAGTTGGTCCAGGAGGTGTTGATTGGTCGCAGCGGGCTGTCAGTACAACGCCTGATGTGGTGCTGACTTGTTATCTGACGTGGTTTACACAGAACTTGATTCGACAGTTATTCGGGTGTTTTGTTTTGAGCGGGCGAGCCCGGCTGTCTGTTATGATGCGCGTAAGAGTTTTCCAAAACTGGAAAATCGATACACGGATCCTGTGAAATATGAAGAAATTCGGTTTAAAGCGAATCAAAAACTAAACACTTTGAACCGCTAACAAAGATATAGTTTCGTTGGTTTCCCCTGTTTTACAGCCCTCAATCAGTGCAGGGGCGGATCCAAAACTCCGTTTATTATTATTTTTTTTTTTTTGGGGGGGGGGGGTGGAAGGTTTGTATGAATACTATTCTCCCACTCTTTCGTGTGCACCGGAGGTGCACCTATGTCAAATTGCCCTCCGAGAAGGGGGGAGAGGGCGACTCTGTTTGGGGGGGGGGGGGGGGGGGGGGGGGAAGGGCGCCCGTGCCCCCCCCCCCCCCCCCTTGGATCCGCCCCTGAATGAGTGTTTCACTCACTGCCGTATGACCGCTTTAGTGATTCAAATAATGTGACCATGAAATGGCTGTTATTTTTCGGTGTCCTGCTCCTTTCCGTTCACTCTGTTGCCTGTCCTCAAACTAGTCTTTAAAATAAAAGCAGTTTAAAATAAAAACAGTTAAAATAAAAGCAAACAGACTTTTTGGCGAAGATCGCATCAGCAAAATTTGGAGAACAAAATTAGATGATTTTTGTATGGTACACTAAGAAGGACACGGAAAGCCGGTGGGAAAAAAATGGCGTCACACACATGCGACTTTCCTTTTGTTTCTATCTTGTGCTCACTAATACAATAATACCTGGCCGTGTGGCCTTTTAAATACAGCATCCATTATTTACTATTGTTGCAAATTTGAAAATGAAAAGAACATCTAAAATCAGAACTTTTTTTTTATTTTCTCTTTCAGGATTAGTGTCACTACGAAACTCGCGCAGATAACGTCGGATTACTTGACAAGCCAGAAGCTCAAGTATTGGAACGACTTTTTGGCCGTGTTTTACATGGCGGATCAGATAGCCCACTTGGCGAATCAGCAACTCGATGGAATGTTCAGTAAGTCGATGTTTCTTGAATCTCCAAACTTTGTCTAGACATTGCTGTTTTGCTCACATATTTTGTAACGCTGTAAGTTTGTACTTAAAATATGCACTGAAATACGATATGCGATTTGCTTTGATTATAATTTCCCGCCTTGCGAGAACTTGTTTTTTATTGTAGAAAACCACCAGGATAACACTACATTATCTCTTTCCTAGTGGAAAATCTTATATGTATAAGAAACACCTCGGTCCAATTAATTAAATAAGATCCTATCAGAGCAGATAAGAATGAAGTAAGAACATATAAGAACAATACAAGCTTATATAAAAAGTTGGAAGAAACTTGTAAGTTTCTTATATACTCTTGTATGGTTCTGAGGTGTTCTTATATAATCTTATTTGATTATATGCGTATATGGGATCACGAAATTCCTCATACATATAATATTTTTTTACTTGCATTATAGTCACCGACAATTAAAGAAATGCAGGGCTTTGGGTTTTATATCCATGCTTCCTGCTTCATGAACCTTTTTTCGGCGTTCTAATCGGCTAATGCAGCAGCCTCATTGGATATGCTACGAAAATAGGGAGATCGGTGGCCGAGTGGGCTAGCGCACACCGCCTCGGAGCATGGGGAGCGAAAGCTCGCGCTGCAGAACCCAGGGGTCCTGGGTTCAATATTGTCACGGGTGGTGACCAGAATAACAATAAATAAACAGGAAGAAATAAACGTTTAATGTGGCGAACTTGTGCCAAAAATAAAAGTATACAAAATATAATAACAGAGCGTCGCGAGCGTCGAAGTCGGCGTTACAGCAGAGTCAAACGCTGGGGCGAAACTGACTCCGCTCGCCTTGCGGAATCCCTTATGTACCCTCGTGGGTTTCTGGATCGTTCGGCTTAGAAGGTTCGGTGTGTAGAACATTCTAACCTCGAATCAGCAAGACGGTTCTCGAATTCACTAGAACATCAAATTACGCTGTCAACAAAAATGTGTAGCCGCGGCCAGGAATCGAACCCTGGCCTTCTGCGTGGGTGGCAAGCGCGATAACCGTTAGGCCACGCGCGCGCTGCCTACTTGGCCAGCTGCGCGCGCGGCAATATCCCCACCGCTGCCCGTTTCGATCTGGATGAGCATCGTACCGGCGTGCGGTCGTGTATCACTATACTGCGTGATGCACGTTGAAGACCCCAGGTTAGCGGTTGTACCGCACTGTCCAAATTGCTCATCTATAGCTAGGAGACTCGTCGCAATCTTGAAATGGATGACCAACTACACGCTGTATAAATATTTACACACACCCAATTATTATTATTCAACAAAAATAGTTCCATAATCGGGACTCGCCACGCCTTGCGTTTCTTACGTTGTGACTATAATATGAATACACGAGGAAAAGGGTGTTGAGTTATACTGGCATTTGGTCAACTCGGAATTCGGTTCTCCTAGTGTCCGGTAATGCGGACATTGTTATTAATGTCGTATTTTAAAAACTATAATTCTCACTTTGAAAAAAAAGTATATATGTATATAAATTTTTTATTGTTTTATTTCTATTAATTTTTTATATATATAAAAAAATCCAAAACGTAATTGAATTACAATTACAATTACTTTGCTTCAAAAGTAGTTTAACTACATTTACAATTACTACTACGTGATAAAAAATTAATTAAAATTACAAATTACTTTTAAAAAGTAATGCAATTACTTTATAATTACTTATTTCCGAGAGCGACCCGAGTTGGGTAATATAAGTTTAAACGGGTTGTATATAATACAACACATTTGTTCATTCCTTACCCCAATTTTTGAGGAGGCTTAAGCATCGCTGCATACAGGTCGCGTATTGTTCTTGCCTTTTATGATTTTTGTTAAAGTAATGATGTAACTTGACAGTTTGGGGTGAAGAAGTCCTACATTCTTCTTTTGCGCCACCTAGCCTAACACTACGTCATCCCTTCGTTATTTTTTAAAATTTGTATAAATTTTATATTCACACAACTAAAGCTAAAGAGGAAATTGGGTTCACGGACTTTTGTTAGCCAGGCAACTAAAATCTGTACGCAATAATACGATTACATTCACATACAAGCATCACGTTATTGTAAATTATTTACATTAAGTTGAAATTGTAATGACTCAGAAATATATAAGAACCAAATCGGGGTTCTTGAATCATTGGTGACAATATTCACGGGTGCGAGGTCAGTCTCCAAAATGCTTATGCAAATAATATACAAAGTAAAAACCAACAAAAAATAAATTTGAAAATAATATAAATATACCAATATGCGGCAGTACTAAAAGAGGGACGTAAAAAACTGCAAAAAAAGAAAGAAAGAAAGAAAGAAAAATACACTTCATAGACCATTAAAATTCCCAACCTCGGCTGAAAGCTGAAGCTAAATTCTTGTCTTTCAATTTTTTGCCATATCTGCGCTATTGTTTTCTGCTCGCACGACAGACGACGCTACACGGCGCCTTTGAAGTAGGCTTCAAGAAGGATTATCTCAGCCTGCAGTGTAAGCAACAAAAACAACAACAACAACAACAACAACAACGCGACGCCATTCGTGTTGTGCGTGCGTGTGCATGCATGCCTATGTGTGCGAGTGTGTAACCGAGCACTCGGCCGCTTGTGTGGGCGCAGTTTTGCAAAAGTAATTGTAATTGTGCTTGAAATTTTGCAATTCTCGTGCTAGAAAGTAATGAAATTACAATTACAAATTACAAAAAAAAACAATTAAATTACAACAATTGAATTTATTTATTTATTAAAAAAATACTGCCAGTCCCCGAAGGGATTATTGCAAGCATTGGTACATAATAAAGAGATACATGTGAGGCATTTAACAACGAATGAACAACACTTCTCGTCATTCAAAACATCCTATAATTACGAAAAAAGTTCATCTTCGACTGCATTGATAAATGATTCAACAGTGCCGTGACTGAACACGTGTGGATCAAGGCTATTCCAGATTCTAATGGCAGAGGGAAAAAATGAGTGTTGAAAAGTGTTATTATAAAACGAATAGTCAGCAAGTGTATGGCTGTGCTTGTGTCTAGTCGGTTTTGTGTTAAACAATTGAACGAACTACCCAAGTATGATATATATATATATATATATATATATATATATATATATATATATATATATATATATATACTACACCACACGCACACGCCGTAAAATACCGGGCAAGCGGCCACTCAAAATTTCGAGATAATCATGAAAAAAAGGGAGATGGGCGCTTTGTGCGGTCATCAATTCTCCCTATCAAAGTACTGTGCATATTTTCTCAATTCTTACAAATTTGGGTATGGGCGCTTAATATGGTATCGGCGGTATTCTGCGGTATATATACATTGCTGGGCAATTGTGTTGCGTACGTGCGTGACACGTTCTAGCACCACGTGACATCAAGTCACGTGACGTCAATTTGCCAGCTAAATATAGCAGGGAAACTGAATCGGTGCGTATGTCGTGTGACGTTAATTTTCCCGCTAAATTTAGAGGAAAAAATAAAAGCCGTTTACAACTCCCTGTAACGCCGAATTAGAACGCACCACTTGAGGAGGAGGGAAGGGTACTGAAAGGAGGGTACACTTCTCCTCCCTCCTCCTCACCTCTTCATCCTGCCTGCTACTCCTCCTTCAGAGCGGCGTCGGCGTCGCCGTCGCCGTCGGCGTAACCGTGACGTCACGCGACCCTCGTGACCTCACGGGGGTCACGTGACCTCGCGGTTGCGCCGACGGCGACGCTGCTCAAGGCGGAAAAGGGCGCCTAAGAGTTGCACTCTAAAACTAAATTGCCGGTCACGTGATCTGATGCCACATGACCTTTACACCAATTCAACTTCTCCGTTAAATTTAGCGGGGAATCTGAATTGGTGTGGAGGTCTGTGACGTTCCATAATGCGACACTACGAGCGTTGCATTATGGGACGTCACAGGCCACGGCGTCATGAAATGCGGCTCCACGAAATGTGGCTTAACGAAATGCGGCTTCAAGAAATCCGGAGCAAGTAACCAAAGAATGTTTCACGTTAAAAGAAGGAAGATCAGTTTATGCACACTATCATTTTGACGGATGAGTAGAAGATGCATAAGAATAAGGGCTAGGCATACCGAAAACCAGACGAACTGATCAGCAAGTAGCGAAACTATAACTCCTGGTGTCTCAAAATCTTGTAAAATATAACGTCTGAAAAAAAAAAAAAAAACCTATTCTACATGTCGGGAAGCATACTTTTATCTACGGTCAAAAATTGAACTTTACTTTTTACAGAGGAAGGGAGCATTCTCGTGCGACACGTTGCTCTGGATGTCCCGAGTCTCGAGGCCATTGTCTCCGACCTTCTGGGATTCATACCCGACATTATACGGATGGGTTTGAACGTTCTGCAGACCGATCTGGGTCCCGTAAGTTTTTGGTCGGACATCATTCAGACTTAATAGAAACACTCTTAAAAAAAAAGAGAGTTCATTTTTTCGTAGAACACACGAACAACCAATCACCGCGAACAATAAAAAGATCCCAGAGAATGACGAACAGAAGCGACGAGCGCCATGACGATGCACTTTTGGCGCTGCTTGATTGGCTCCATCGGATCGTAGTGGTGGCTGCAGTCGGACTTAAAGTGAAACTGAGTATAGTCTTATTCTGAGCTCAGTGATTCAGTGGGATCTTATGTGTAGTTCACTGTGATTGGGCGTCACCGTGCTCTGTAGAAACGTCAGAGAGTTTTAGGGAACCGTTTTTGCGCGCATCCAATATGGTACGATGGGCCCTCCAGTACGAACTGCGCATGTGCGACTCTCTGTTGTAGCGCATGCGCAGTTCATACCGGAGGGCCCATCGTATACCGTATCGGATGCGCAAAAACAGTTCCCTAAAACTCTTTAATAACTCAAATAATTTTTTTTTTAGAGTGTATCGCACGCTTATGGGCGCCGTTCCGAACTTTTATGCATTTTTATTCGCAGCTAGTGGAAAAGCTCGAGCAGAACAGGGTGAGGAGGTTTTACGTGCCCTGCCAAGTGGGGACCTTCGCGGACTTGTTGTCGGTGGAAAACACGGACGTCCTGCGGAAACTGGAGCGGCGGATATGCCAGCAAATTCCCCTCCTCATGACGCAGTTCTTCCAGGAACCACATGTGGCGGCAATTTCGAAAATGGTAAAGGGTCGTCCGTGTTGTAGTTTAGTCGTTTGCTGTAATGTTGGAACACTTATTGGCAAATTACATTTTTCGAACGCGTGACTGGTTTGAAGTTTTATTGCAGAATGTTTGAGTAGTTGGAATGATAAGGAGCTTTGTTGGAGGATTTCTACGCTACAAAATAAATTGATAGAAAGTGAAAGAGAGAGAGAGTTAGAAAAGAAAAAAAAACTATAATAAAATGAGTTTTTTTTTGTTTTGTTTTGACAGCTTACATTCTAAGAAACCCGATGTGCCTACTTTCCCGCAAGAAAGTTGGGAGAACCAATCGCTGCAAACTTCTAAAAAAAAGCTCTGTGCTGAACAAAACTACAATATGTCGACATAAAAAAAACAAAAAAACAAAAAAAAAAAAAACAGTTTGCGTTGTGGCACTGAGCATGAGCTAACGTATTGCTCGGTGTCGCAACGCTCTCGTATTTTTTTTTTAGGTTTAAAAGAAAGCGTTGCCTTGCGTGAATTCTTTTTTCCAGGTACAAGACGTGAATCACGGAATAGAAGTATCTCTCAACTGGGTTGATGCTGGCTCGCACATGTTTGCTCTGCTCAAAAACGTCGATCGCATCAAAGGGTTCAGAGGCTCTGTATTTCCCGATGTCCCGGCGTTGCACGATGGAAAATTGAAAGATGCCCTGGAGGACGCGAGAGCTACCATTGGAATTGACGACACTCCCCAAAGGTGGGAAAGAAGAACAGAGTTGTGCATTAAGTAATAGCTTTATCGTGCATTTATATGTTTTAACAAGCCTGGTGCTGGTATAGTATTGTACAACTAATGTTAAATGTGAGTGACAACACACGAACGTGTCAATTTTTACTGGGATAAGTTCGTCGTAAAATACGCCGTATTTTCAAAACTCTCAGTTGAAAGCTACAAAGTTCAATTCTAAAGGTGCGTAGTAACGATGATTTTGTTTACATGTTTTTAGGCTAGTAATTTGATCTCATACTCCGAGATTTAAAAAAAAAAATGTTCCGCTTAGTGCTTCCTTATAAAATACACGAGCTTATATAAACATACCTCCTCTCTTCGGTGGTGACGGAGCCAAGAGGCGGAGAAGCGAGGAGCAGAACACAGGGATGGGGAAGGCTCATCAGTCAGAAGCGCGGTTTGCCCGCCCCGCACGAACTCCGCTCTCATCTTGCAAACCTTCCAGTCAAAAAGTCCTTGTGTGGCGGTGACTTATAGGCACGCTGGTGCTGGCCGACCGCGGCGTTACTTTTTTTTATCTCCTAGCCCAATCCTCCGCGTGGAAACCAGTAGCAGAAAATGTGACCATAACATTGCTTGTTATAGTCACCTTTTCTGCTACTTGATTCGTCCTTCACCATGCTTATCAGCCAATGCTGCCATGTGAATGACTAAAGAGCGATAATGAAATGTCCAGCACTCGCCACGCCCCCTGGATTATTTGAACGTTTTTAGTGACTGCAATATCGTACGCATGTTTGCCCATGAATGTTGGCTAGGCATGCAGATTATTTGCCCTTTATTTTTTGTAATTTGCAGAACGCGTTACACAATGGGTCGCGCATTATCTTCACTATCTTTCCGCTTTAATTGCGCACATTTGACACAAAATCCTTGCTACAAAGCAGCCGTGTTTTCTCCATTAGCAAGACGACCGCTGCGCTGCAGTTGGTGAGTGTGGCCGTTGAAGAACTGGATACAAGCCTCAATTACACTCTCGCCCCATACCTAATAAGCATGGCGTCGTTCCTGTCGGCCTCAGACAATACATCTTCCCCTCTCCAAGGTAATGCAACCCTTTGTACTTCTTACACAAGCATTCGAGTATCAATACTTGCGAAAAACATTTTTTTTCTTAAATTTTCTAGACAGACGGGAGACCAGCGTGACGGAAATATTCAGCTCTGATACAGAAGTAAAACAGTTGGTCCAATGGGCAAATAACTATTTTGTGAAGCTCTTGGAGGTCTTCTTTAATACTCTTGCAACGGAGCCGAGAAAGGTGAGACTGTAGAGATAGCGAGGACAATGTTTGAGGTGTGTTTTACAGTTTTACGTCATGACCTGTGTCCTGATTTCAGATATCCCGAATATTGAAGCAGAAGGACGGAATCGAAGTTCTTTGCAGCAACGACGTGGAAAGCTATTTGTCTGTGCCCCCACATGAGAAGGAATTGACTAGTTCGGCCATCTTTGAGCTTTGCGCGATCAATTTCACCGTTGTTTACAACACTTTGAAGGTAATGGCTACATAATATTTTATATTTTTTAACGCGACAGCCTTAAGAAGATCGTTCCGCCGAAAAGCCGGCGTCGCCGGCGTTGTGACGGGAAATGTTTGCTTGGTCGATAGGATTACGACGTCAGAGTTACAGGACCTCGCGCGGGAATTTCAAACAACTCACAAAGCTCACGAGAAACATGACGCCGCGCGTGGAATAAAAGTGATTAGAAACATGACATGTAATGCGAATTAAAGGTCGCCACATGCGACATGTGTCAAAAGAGTTAGTTAACTTGATGAAGTAATTAATTTGGCTTAAAGAAATATTTTAGGAATTTTAGGCTGGATTTTATCCCACGACCCTTCGGTTACGAGCCAGACAGGCTACTGAGTAGGCCATGCCCGCCGCACTTCCTGCTCACTGGCAGGAAGAGCTTGAGAGGTGAATGAGAAGGCGATGCTAACGGAGTTCGATAACGCTACCCTGTTCCACTCTTAAAGGCAAAGCTTAAGCGTTTTCTAAGTTTTATCTTGATAATGATGTCTCCAATGACATAGTTTGGAACATCCAGTTGGAACTCAAACTCATTTGTAGAAGGGCACACCATTTTTGAAAAATTGTTGAATCGGCTATTCCAATGTAGTGTTAGAAGGTTGACTAGAGACATACCGAAGGACGTTAAACTGACGCGGAAAACTATTATACAATATTAAAACCTCAAACTGATGCGTCATTGTATACATGCGATAGTCTTTGTAATTTATTTGTTTGATAAAATGACTCGAATGGTAACACATCGTGCAGAATTTCTTTCTCTTTGACATTTATTATGGCATTTAAAATGCGCTCACCAGGTGAATGGATCTTTCTGCGATTCTTTTATAACACTGGACTAACTTCTTTAGCCCTCCAGCCTTTTTTAAATATTTTTAGAGCGCAGCTCTCAGGGGCCCGTTTCCGGCTTGAGCGGCGTTGGCGTCGGCGCCGCCGTCGGCGTAACCGCGAGGTCACGTGACCCCCCCGAGGTCACGTGAGCCCCGGGTCACGTTACCCCCCCCCCCCCCTCAAGGTCACGTGACCCCACTCAGGTGACGTGACCTCCCTCAGGCCACGTGACCCCCGAGGTTCCGTGACCCCCCTGAGGCCACGTGACTCCCCCCTTGGTCACGTGACCTCCCCTGAGGTCACGCGACCTCCGAGGTCACGTGACCCCCTCCCCCCGAGGTCACGTGATGCCCCTGACATCAGACGACCCCCCCACTTCGAGGTCACGTGACCGCAAGGAGTCGCCTGTCCCTCAGTACGCTTCCATCCTCCTCCTCAAGAGCTGCGCTCTAATCCGGCGTTACAGGGAATTGTAAACGGCTTTTATTTTTTGTTTTCTTCACATCAAACTTTTCACGGGTACTCGCGCAAAGTGTGTTACCCGACAAAGATAGGGCAATCCTAATTGAAACAAGACATACAAGGCTTTTATGATTCGTTCCTTCAATCGGAAGACCGCTACATACGTCCCCCACCCCCTTAATGAAACAGACAAACAAGCAAACAAACAGACAAACGAACAAACAAACAAACAGAACAAAACAAAGACAACAACAACAACGACAACAACAACAAGCGCTTGCTTTCTCTTTTTTCACTTTACTCCTCAGGATATAAACCCTCGTTTTTGTTTTTGTTTGACTTTTTTTAATTTATAATAGACACTCCTGTAAACTGCTTAATGTTACATTGTGATGTTTTTAGTATAATTAAGACCTTACTCAGTAGGCGGCCATTTTCCCAGTAACTGCCTCACCGGTCCACGTATCTCCAAAACAGATTATTTCACTTTTTTGGTTGACGTGAAGTGTGATTTCTAGTTCACTTTTTAGTGAAATCTAACCAACATACGGCGTCCAGCCTACGCTACAAAAAAATAAGGAATCTCAAAATTTTAACCGAATGATATGTATAATAATATCTTACTACACTTGTACATAAGTCACTTATGTAATTAATTACAGAGGAGCAACAACTACACGGAGGTTCCCATTCATAGACAAACAGGTTGGTTCTTCAGGACGTTACAGCACATCTTGGACGCTGTTCACAAGCAAAAGTTGGCACCTATGGCTTCGCAGATGTTGAATGGCACGCAGTGGCATCATTTCATTGGAGACAATTTCTGGAGCTCTAGGTAAAACATAAAATTCATTAGTGGCAATACTGCGAACGCTACAATAATCGTTCACACTGGTTATAATTTTAGTTCCACATTTTGTGCTTTATGGTATTATATCATTAAAATCGTGTTTTCACAACTTTGTACTTCCTTAGTATTATTCACCTGGGCACTTTTTAATTTTTTTACATAAAGGCTTATTTAGAAGGCCGATTGAAGCAAGCTAATAAGGCGTAAAGGTTTCCTGACTGCTAGCTTTTGGAAGAGTCTAAAATAACAAAAAAAGAAACGAAGGTACCAATTTTTACTTTTAACTTATCTAATATGGAATATAGTTAAATGTTCTGGAGTTATCAAGCAAAAATCAATACAATTGCGCTCTAAAGAAAATTTATAGTTTTCAGGAAATGCTATCCTCCTAACGATATACCCAGAATCTAAGCTCGTTTACAGCGGCAACATCACTCAGACCAACGTGAAAACCTTTGAGTGAGATTTCATTTTAACACGTGGAAGACAAAAGAAAGCATAAAACGCATATAGAGCTTAATTTAAGGTTGAGTAATTATTATATCTGGCCCTGGAGTCGGTTCTATTCGTTTAATTAAAAGGTAATGTGTTGTCACATTTGTCATTTTGTTTCTCCATCTTATTTCTAGTACATTTGTAGTAATGCTACCAAACACCGTCTTGCTTCATATATGTCACAAAGTAATTACAGTAGTGTGTAAATTATTCAGTGAAACTGATGTTCTGAATGTTGATATTCAGAAGTTGTGTACTTGGATGCTAACCTGCGAAATATTTCAGATCTGCAACCAACCGATTAAAAGTGCTCTCAGTACTGAAAGGAGTGACAATTGTTTTCGAAGACAATCCATCAGCATTGGCGTCTATATACACCACTGCTTCAAAAATCACCTGCAAGCTAAGAGCTCCATTTAGTAAGTCGAATTTCCTCAATGGTTTTCTGCAGTTTTCTGAAACAAGGTGCAGCATCACGACATTGCCGTCTTTGGTTTTCAGGACTTCTAAGATGGAATCGTTTGTTTGAGCACAACATGGACCGGATCAATATCTATTCAATTTTGAAACTGGTAAATGGAAGCATTGACATTGTGAACACCGTATTCGACACCGTGATGGAACCATCACTGGTAAGAATTAGTTTCACATTATTCACTCCTTAAAACTTGAGATTACAGCAAAAAAGACAATCGTGGTTGTCTTGGTAAAAAAAAAAAAAGAACACCTTTTAAATTTCGTTGCAGATCAAATGCATAGTACAAGATTTTGGAATGTCTTCAAATGGACTGGGAGACTTCTGCTCTCTGCAACCTAAGGAGTGGTCCAAGTACTTTGCTCTGGACAGACAAAATTCAGCCCCCCCAAAAGACAACATTCGACACCTTACCTGCAAATTCAGTCCTGCCAAGTTGGTGGAGGAACTAAAACCGAACTGCCAGAAAGAACTACAGGTGTGTGTCCGTGACGTTTTTTCTCCGCTCTTGGGTTACCATGCCGATATTAAACCAGCTCGCCTGCTCACTTGCTTTAGTTTCAAGGGGATATCATTATTTGATCATTTTAAGACTTATAAAAGTTTTTTTTATTTTTCTGGAGATATTCATATGTCCCTGTTGAAGATGGGATATAGTCGACACAGTTCGTGCTTAATTGTCCATCCTGAAGGGTGATCAAATCTGCCGGGATTTTGTTTTCATATCTTTTGCAATATTATCGGAATAAAACTAAAGCATGTGCAATAAAGGCGGATGATGAACGTTCCTGTTCTTGGTGATATGACATGATTTGTTGTTTCTATATTGTTTGGAATAAATATGTGCTGCTTATATAAGGGAAAGCTGAAGAGGTCCTTAAAGAGAAATGAATTAGAGGTGAATTTTAGCATAATTTTGTAATGCGATTTTGATTATGACAAGCATTTGACCCCAATGTATCAACGGACGCGAAAAAACCGAAAAACACACCAACCGCTGGGTGTGTCGTCATACCCGGAGACTTCAACTGCCTTGCACGGGCCGTTTGTGAGGGAACGCGTGCAGCGTTTTTGTCTGCTGGGGTAAGGCTTGTGAAAGGCAAGGAAATATTTAGATCTCTGTTTTATACGTTACTATTGCCTCCTCCGAACCGAACGCGCCGGGAAGCAGGGTCTTCAGCGGTATTTGGAGAACGCTGTTGTGTTTACCTAACGCATCATTCTGAAATATAATTTTGATATTCGTAATGCTGGAGGCCAAACAAAGACGATATAGGTGTTCTTTTGTTTTCAAATACAAAGTCACTTCAGTTTCCTTTTAACTTTATGTCGCATATGACCAATAGCTGATAAATCGTTGAGCGAGTAAGTATAAATATCCTCATAAGTTTGCGTTTTCCTTCTTTCGACAGGTTGACGTGAGAGATATGAAAGCTGAAAATACCTTTTATGAAGAGTCTCTGGCTATATATGATGAACTTTCCATGTCCTTCGCATCTGGCACTACGGGAGGCGCTTCTGTCTGGGATGGCGAAGAGTGGCGCAAGACCTTTCAGGGATTTCAACATCGATTGCGGAATGGACTCATCAAGATGGACTTGCAAAAGTGTGTATAGTAGCTATTTCGGTTGTATGCAGTGCTCCATGCGGGACAGTAATTGATTTGATGCATTCTATATGAATCAAATGGCACCCGACGACTGGCATGGCTGGTTCACGGATTTGCGCTTGAATTCAACCGAGTCTGTTGTGTGCGCTTGCGACCACTTATGGCGGAATAACATACTGGTGCCATTTCTAGGTTGCTTGGAACACTTTATATCTGCGACCATTTCCTACTTTTTTCACGCAGTATTCTTTCCCTATGAACTGGATGTAGTACTCAAAATGTTATAAGCGACGATTTGTTATAAATAGTGTGTTGATTCGATCTCGTAAATACTGCAAAGCCTTCAGTCTAGCTGCACAGAGATCGGAAGGGTTCCAGGGGCACGTGATAGATGGCGCAACTGTGTGCCAGTGTGCTCTCTCATCGTAAGCGGTCAAATGTGCTTATAACGCCCTCAGTCGTGCTCAAACGCGAAGGTGGAGAACAGCCTTTATATGCAAGGAATAAAACAGACTGATGATGTGCTAGAGCAATGATAGCATTTTCTTTTTTTAGATTGGAAAGCTGGCTGATCTTGTTTAAAAGGCAATTCCTTGGGGAGAAATCTACTGAAAGCACCACACGTTTCACTGGTCTCCTTAAGTACTGGACAGAGGAGTTGACCAGGCGCTATAAAGGCAGGTACACAGATTCACCAAATAATACGATGTTTCTTTTATTCATAGTGAATATATTACGACTATGAGATTGGCCTTTTTGGTGCCATTTTTAACGTTAAGGTAGTTCCACTCTCAGATGTGGGCGATACGTTTCGAATAACGTTTTTGTGAAACCAAACCAAACCAAAGAAAATATTAAGCATTTAAAGCTGGAACTATGATTCTGAAGGTTTCCAGCTGAACGTAGAAGTAAAAACAGAGGAGTGGAGAAAAAGAGACATACACTGCTGGACTATCAACCATTTACTGAAATTCTTCCTTTGCCTTTTCATCTACCTTCATGAATTAAACAATTTATTTATTTACTGGAATTTTTTTCTTTTTTTCTTTTTCATCTACCCTCATGAATTAAACGAATTAAACGAACTGGAACCATGAATGGTCGGATGATAGAAAAACTTTTCTCATTTCTAAATCGTATTTATTGACTGTATTTGATAACAGGTACATCCCCAATACCCCTGGAACAGGCATTTCGAGACAAGCCAAATGTAATGTCCTTTTTGATGACATGGCTGCCAATATTACCGACGGCCACCGAGTCTCTGATGTCTTCATTGCTTGTACACCGGGAATCAAAGGTAATAAGCAAATAGGTGTAGTAAAAAAAACCAACTAACATTGGCATTTAGTATCTCAGGCTTATGAATTTATTTTCTGAAATAGGCGCCTCTCACGGACTTGCTTCGAATTCAAGAGCGTGTGTGCAAAACATGGGACCCCGCCAACCTGACATCTGAAAACCTACGGCAATCCTTATTCACCGCCGCAGTTTGTGACAGTGACTTTACAACGATCAGTCGGGAGCTCACGACAGAAGGCGTGAACGTAAGATGCCCTGATCTACACGAAATACGCTAACCGATTACGTTCTACTGTTTTTCCCCACTTGCTTTTCAAACTCAAAGCAGCTCTCTAAAATTTCAGATGCAGGCTGACAACGTCGACGCCTTGGAAAGCAGAAACACAGTGATGAATCTGTTGAATTTGCTGCGCAGAATGACAGCTCAGTTGGGGACTCTCGGTGACACTGAGAGCGCGTTGAAGACAAATCGGGGGTTGGGGCTAGACCCATGGGAGACACTGAATGTCTACAACGCGTTGCTGGAAGCCGACGAGGATTGGAACTCGCCGACCACTGAGATCGCAATACGGACGCTTCTCCGGTGGAAACAGTCGCTGCATGTCCCGGACAGTAAGACAGCTTGGGAAACGTGAGTGAATTTTCCTACGGCAGCATCACATACTCCCTACCCAAGTAGCACACTTCCTGGGCTCAGGCTTGGGCAAGATTGGCGCTAGCTAGAGCCGACTTGGCTCAAGCCTGGCCTAAGCTTGCGCCAAAATGGCGCAAGCTTGGGCCGGGGAAATGTGCTGCTAGGGTAGTCACCGCGACAACTTAAGAAACACAGAACGGGGTGAGTTTCGAGCGTTTTATAATCGCTCCACAGCCAATGAAATGTGGAAGTTTCCGATAAGGACATGTCATAACGCAAGAACCGTGAGCATGGCAGGCCACACCGCCTTTTCTTAAGTTGTCCGTGACTGCAGTATAGAATACTCGATACAATGGTCAGTAGATACCTAGACATAATTATGCATTTTCGCTCACAGAATCAACATATTCATGAAGTCTGTGATGGAGAAGATGCAAAAGAAGGAGAGCACAGAGGAGCTATTGGAACACATGAGGAAGTTTCATTACTATACTTCGTTCATATCTAAGGGACCAATGGAAGGTAAGAAAGTTATATCTTATTTAGTTTGCAAATATTTTTGGTGCTATATAGACTGGGCTTAACAGGAAAAAAATTTCAGCCTTTCCACTTTGGTGAAGAAGGAAGAGCAGCGGAGCTGGTACTATGTGCCGCCATCTATGAGCGATGGCGGCAACCAGACAGTCGGCAAGCCCGTTATCTGGTTGTCGCCGTCACTCATAGATGGTGATAGCTGTCTAGAGGGCTGTGTCGAGATTTGTTTGTCCATGGACACGAAACTGGGGAAACTGGCCCTTAATAGCTCTGCTGCAAAAAAAAAAAAAAAAGAAAAAAAGAAAAAAAGAAAACAACAAAAAATACAACAACAAACAACAAAAAACAAATGTGTGGCACCCCTATTTTACAGATACGGCGTTGCTCACAAATGCTTTTTCGCTGGAAAACTGGGACAACTTCGAACAGTACGTCAACACGCTAAACTCCTCGAGGGTAAATGGATTTGTGAATTACACCAAACGTGTATGTTTACCTGGTATTATTGAAACAGACTCAATTCTGCGGTCGATGTTCGTTTTTTTATTAGGAAAGCTTCCGTCTTGAGTTTGGTTGGAGCAACACATCATTGGATTGGACTATCAGAGCAGATATCAGGAGGATAGCATCGCTCCCCGAAGATGTGGTGACGGGGTACAGTGTCAATCAAAGCACCCCTTTGAAACTTCTTAATGACAGAAGGCTGGTCGGCACCGTGGAACGACTTCTGGCCAACTACGCGAACCGGCCAGTACACAGGTACGCAGAAACAAACTGCGCAAAAACATTGTCTGTATCGCACGCACACTCGTCTGTGTTTATTGATTTGATCGTGTTTTGAAGAAAATGTTTCTGCATTTCCATTTAAGTGTCGTACGTCTCCTTCTGAGCACATCGTGGATGTTGCATCAAAGCGCAAGCAACCTACGTGCCTGGAATACAATAGTACCGCCATTTCTTGATATGGCTGAACGTTTCAACGCCTACGTAGAACGAGGTGGGTAGTAAATTGTAATACATATTTGCGTACAGTTAATAGTAAACGAGCTGCACATTGCACGAAAACTGTACGTTTTAAAGAATGCTTTCAATTGCTGTAGTATTTCTTTATGTCCCGTCCTGTCCACCAAGTCGAATGCCACACGCAGGCGCGGGAGAGTGATGTGTACATGCCGTTCTCCAGTCCTTTATGCGCACATGCGCGATTTGACAGATGAGGCACTCGCCGGATGTGTCGCAGTCTTCACAATGCCTCATAAGAGGCATTAGCAGCGGACTGAAGATGCGATAGCTGAACAGAAGCGGCGACGTACTGAGTATGACCGTGCTCGACGTGCCAAATGAACGCTGGAAGAGAGCGACGTTGACTAGATATAGAGTGGACATTATACGTTTTTTTTTTTTTTTCGCGCAATCTAGCGCTTCGCTAAAATCGACGTCTGCGCGCTGCCATCTTCGTCTGCTGGGCTGTGGAACGCATTCTGAGCATGTGCTGTGGCTCTGCTGTGCACCAAATGAGATGCTGCGCATGCGTCCACAGTTCAGTGACTCCGCATTTTTCGCCTGTGTGATAAGCGCTGGAAAGGTATATAGGAATTATTTGCATTTTAATTAGCGAAATATAGACTTCATAGAACACAAAGAGTGATATCATCCTTCGACGCACTTCGAAGGACCGCAAAAAGACAGCCCCGTTTTTTTGTCTTTTTTTGTTTTGTGACTAGTGATTTTTCTAATTCCAGTACCCACAAAGAATGCCTTCGTGACGGATGCCACCGAGCGTCTGTGTTCGACATGTGAAGACCCTGACGTTCTGAAAGAAGTGATTACTTTTCTTATTTGTTAACTCGCCTCGAGTAGAATTTTATTTTAGTGCATTACGAGACTAGAGGCCCACGCTAGTACTTGAATTTTAAATACACACAGGATATTCTTCGTCCATTACTGTCTGGCACACTAGTACCATATTTTTGGACCACAGTCTGCGGACTGTACATGTCTAAAAGTTCAAATTTTACCCGACGCAGACTATTTACGGGTGCGGACAATACAAGGATTTTTTTTTCTAGTTCGTTCTCTGCGACAAGACGTGAAGGATTTTATGAATGACAGAGCATATTAATATTGATTTAAGTATGATAAAAGCTTCCTTGTGAGCTAACACAGCAGGTATTTGTCAAGGTGTGCTGTGTATCATAATTTTTGTGCTCGGACTAGGCAGTGAGTGCGGACTGGGTGCGAAGTATTTAAGCAAAAACCTTTATTTTGACCCTAAATTTGCCGCTGTTGACTATGCACTGGTAGGGGACTATAGTCCAGAAAATGCGGTAGTAATTTTTTATTGCAAGAATAGTACTCCACTTATGAGCTCGTAGGGACACGAGAAGACTAAGTTATACGGCGCTTCCTTTACAACTTGACGAAGAGCCATCTTTGATTCGCAACCGAAGTTTTGATGTTGAGTCAACTTTTTCGACACGAAAAGGAACGCTTGCTCAACATTTAACCAAAAAGTGTCCTCGTAAATAGCATTGCCAATCGTCATGGGAAACGCACCGTATTTTTCTGCACTCAATCTATGGTCGGCAGGAACGAATTTGGAATTAAAAATACAAGTTTTGCTTAGATTGTCCGCACCAGGTACATAGTCCGGATTAGGTGCCTAATCCGAACGTAAAAATTATCATACACAGCACACATGGCAAAATGCCTGCTGTATTAGCCCACAAAAAAGCTTGTATTATGTATAAATCACCATGAACATATTCCGTTACTAATAAAATTCGACACGTCTTATTACAGTCGACGATTTTGGAAGAAATAAGTACTTTTATAGTCAGCACTGAGTAACACTTACACCTTTAAGCATATATAGTCCGCGAGCTATAGTCCAGGAAATAGGTCGTTTGAAAACTAGATTTTGTAATACACAAATTTTACATTGTTTAAAGTTAAGATGGGCTGTGGCAATGCTTGCATAGCACTGATTCGGAGAGCTTCCTTTTCTTGCACAAAGTTGAGTGTATAAATATCTAAAATAGGTCGATGGTTAACCGATCGTTTGTTTTATTATATATTTTGATACATCTTTACTGGGCCAGGGGATACAGTGAAATCTTACCCGGAACTTAGTGTCGCTTTCAATAAATATTTAAAATATTTCAGGAAGAAAGATTTTTAAAAGAAATCGTATCCAAAAGTTCATTGCCAGGACGCCGTGACACACAAATTATGAAGCTGGTGTGGACCGTCTTCAATACGACGTAAGTGCAAAAACTGGCTGCGACCTTTATCTCCAAAGTCTTATAATGCATGGGATGCGGTATTTAAGAAGATATTGTTTCAGCTTTTTAAGAAAATAAACAATCGCCTCCGGATATCAGAAAATTCAACAATTTTTTAAATAAATTTTTCCACTAAATTTAGTGAGGAAATGAATTGGTTTTATATGACGCGTGGCGGTCAATTTCCCCGCTAGATTTAGCGGGAAAACTAAATTGCTTTGTGGGTCACGTGACGTGAATCTCCTTCTTAAATATTGCGGGGAAACTGTATTGTTATGTAGGTCAAGTAACGTATTTTTCCCTGCTAAATTTAGCAGCATAACCTAATTGTGGTATAGGTTAAGTGACATCCATTTCCCTGCTACATCTAGAAGGGAAACTGAATTAGTCTTTGGATCACGTGGCGTTATTTTCCCCGTTATATCTAGCGAGGGAACTGAATTGGTATTTACGTCACGCAACGTCAATTTCACGTCAATTTCACCGCTAAATTTAGCGGTAAAATCAAATTGGTGCATAGATCACGTGACGTCAAGTTACATAACGTTAATTTTCTCGCAAGATATAGCTAGGAAAATGAGTTGGTGTATAGATTACAAATACAGGTCACGCGATGTCAATTTCTCCGCTAAATTTTACGGAAAGAAAAAATTGGTGTAAGTCACGTGATTTTAATCTTTCCGCTAAGTTTAGAGGGTTCTGTTACAAAGCATTTCGCGCTTTATTATTGGTCGAAATCTTTTTCGTGCCTGATCGACATATTAATGTGGTCTTTTTATATTGAAGGTATACTCCATCGTGTGACGACAATCATAGAGGCACTACTTTAAATCAAGTGCTGAATCTCGTTGCTGAGATTTTGCGAAACTTTCCAGGTAATCTCTGTTCTTTGTTGTTACGAAATAAATAATGCCTTATTAGCGGCTGGATACAACAGGCGCACAAGAGACGTTGAAGATTATGCTCATTCAGCAAATTTTCTAAACCAGAGCCAGAGGAGCTGGTGTGCGCCCTTCCTAACAAGACAGTTGCGGATGCATATGTGTGGATTTCCGACAAGCTGAGACTTCAGGATGTCGCAAGGAGAGTAAGTAAATAAGGCATGCAGAACTGTCACTAAACTTCACTTCAGAAAAATGTTGTGTTCACCTTCACGTAGAAGACAGAGACTACAAATGACAACAATAAATAGAAGAATCCCAGAGAATGACGAGGGTCAAAACACGAATCGATTTGAATAAATCGGATCTGATCAAAATGTGATTAGAGTGTGAAATAAAACGTCAATCTCATTGTTTCTTCGCACACCGCATTTTTTGTTTGTGTTCTCAACTTTGTGGTATGCTGGGATATCCGTCCATTGTTCGCTGTGATGCGCTATCTTAATGTTCTGAAGGAAAAATAACTCACGGACGTTTTTAGAGTGCGTTCATAGGCACAAGTTATTCATTACAGCCCAAAAATAAACGTTATAAATATATTATAGAAAACGAAAGGTAAATATATTGAAGCTACTTTTGACGTACGCTGAGGGCCTGTGCCAATTTTGTTTTTCAGATTGTGTCGATTGCGAATAATTCTGCAGTACCAACATCGAGTTGCACAAGTGTACCAACTATCCTTATGAAATCAGCGAGCATTTTCTGGAAATACGTTCAAGTCTTTATCTCTGGCGATAAACGCGGAATCGTTGCACCGTGTCTCGAAGGATTTCGACGTGGACCTCTGAAAGATAGTGCTGACAGGTATGTTTTAAAAATAAAACATGTTTTATCAAGGTACACTCACGGACACTAAGTTGAAACACTCTATCTGGACTCTCGCTACGTCGGCAGTTCCCTCCTGAGAGTTAAAAGATTGAGACCTGAGGTTTACGTTGCAAGAGATATTTTCACCAATGCTTGTCTAACGCTGATAGGTATGTCAAAGAAGCGTGGAGATCTGTTTCTGCTCATAGTGTCCGCGATAGTACGGTAGTCCGTGTACCGATCTCACACTTAAATTACTTATGTCTAATGGATCATTTGTCTATTAGGCACTTTGCCGTGGCATCACACATTTTTGACTTTGCAAGAGGACTTTTTAAACGTGATTCTTCAAACAACACAGTTCTGAACTTTTTGGTGAACAAGTTAATGTCCCAACTTCCTGGTAAGTATGCAATTTTATTTTATTTTGTTTCTATCTGTAAATAGAAATTTTCTCACTTTGAAATCGCTGATAAATTACGAGAAGGAATTGCACATTGATTTCTTCACACTTTTGTTTTAGTTTATGCACCAATGTATCAAGTTTTTAATGCCGAGTTGTTAAAAAAAGCCCTGGACGAAGATCGAACTCTTTTTGATACCTCAAGGCTTGACCAAGTGATGAGCGCAAAAATAAATCTGAACTGGGTGAGTGTAACTATTCCCACATTCAGCACAGACCCGCTCACAATTTGTCCAAGGCAGTTAACGCTTATATTCCTTTTCAGCTTGTTCGCCACAACTTCTCACAGAACGCATTACTAGACGCCTTGTGCAGCCAGCCCGAGAGGTATTTGTTGTTAAGTGAAGTGCACAATGGAAGAAAAAATATATGCAACCAGAAGCTAGCAAACACTGCAATAAAGTTTCTTCGGCAGCCTTCCAAAATATATGCAAGAGTGAGTAATTTATTGGGGGTCATAAGATTTTTTGTAATTTAGGATTTGGTTTCTAATCTCTTAATTATAAACAAAATACTTTACGAATAGGATTACCCGTCTTTATTAAAATAAATTTTGTGGGTGATTCGGAATAATTTCTTATAGACGTGAAGAAAATTCTTGAGAATAAAAATTAATTTGGAAATTGCAGCTGCCTCGCAGGTTTTCTTATTTTAAAGGAAGCAATGACTTCCAGAACCTTATTTGTCACAAGGTACTTCACTTGAAAGTACAAGGTGGTGTACAGATTATTTTTAAAGTTTTGACCTTAATCACGTATGTATGTGTTAAATTTCACATGCGTTTGTATCGAGATATGTATTTTAACACACACATAAAGAAATATGTTCAAAAGTGGCTGTATACTCCCTAATAATTCTGCATTATTAATTTTTGATAAAGTGAAATAACCATTGCTTTATTACCCTAAGAAAAAACCTGCAAGGCGGTTGCAATTTTCAAATGTCGCATCTCATTAATAATTGTATAATTATAATTTTTTGTATAAAAATTAAACATATTGTCGTATAAGAAAGGTTTTATATTCGTTATTTTTGTTTTCTTTAAAATATAAATAAAACAATCTCTGACTGCTTAGAATGATCGCTGTGAGATTGGAAGGTCAAACTCGTATGAATGAACGAGTTCTTCACTTGCATTTCTTGATACATTTGGAAATTTGTGCTCTGATGCAGGTGCTGCAAGAGCAGAAAGACAGCTTTTTCTCGGGCCAATGGTTGCGCGACACCCTGAGCGATGCAAGTGCTTTATGGAGCTGGATATCTGAACTGCTGTCATCCACTACGACTGCGTCGTTCAATGGTTCCGATGGGAGCTTGGCCAACAAGTTGTCATCAATTGTTGCAATGTTCAATGAAGATGTCCTTGGAAAGATAACGAAAAAGTAGGACTTGATTTTTTTTTCGGAAGTGCCTGCGTGCGGCTTTCGGTTACCCTTGTAGATCTATTTTTTATTCATATACTTTATGAATTTTAGTTGATTTATTTATAAGGAATTTTAGTTATAGTAATCAGTCATATTCAAGCTCGCTCCAAGTTTTGGATGAAGTTGATGTGTAAAACTTTTAGTCACACTAACAATGAACCCTTTTTTGCGTTATATTTTTGCATTATAATATCTCACAATTTTGTTGATGTAATTGATGCGTTTAGTAGCTTATGGACACAGTTCAAGCTAGATTATAATATTGAGCCCCCTTTAGTGTTTGTCTTTTCCTAATGTAATACTCTCTTCAGAATAATATTTTACCAAGAAACAACTAAACTGATAATATATTATATTTAAATTTCTTGATTACCTCAATAACACACTACTTTTTACATTTCAGCTTGGATAGAATCCAGATAAAGCTAGCTACAATATTTCCGGGCGGTTCAATAACGGAGTACTTGAACCTTGTTCTTGAAGGATTCAAAGGCCTTTCGAATCTCCAGAAAGCCCATCTTTTTGATCTAACTTGTGAGTGATTTTTTTCTCTGCTATCCGTGAAGTTTTTGAAAATATTGACACCTAAAACAAAAGTAAGTTCAGTGTATATTACAAATCTGATTGACGTATTTTTTCGTATTCTAGACACAGTTAAAGACATCCTTGTTGACAAGAATGAAGCAAAAAGGATTATAAAGCGTGAGCTCAATATGACATCTGAAAAAATAGACGAAATACTTGAAACATCGCTGGATCTTGCATCGGTAGGTAATATTTTCTCGGCGTGTTCGGAAAATATACAGCAGTATAAAAATAAGGTACTGCCGGTGTGAAAAGTTCTTACCCATCCTAGGATATTTTGTTGGGCATGATTTAAAATCTTGTTTGTCGATTTTCGTTTTGACAATGATGAAACGACTGCGATCGACGAATCAACGTCCCTGGTAAAAGCACAAAATACACAAGCAAACAATCAAAGCGGTTTGTACTTGAGATAATGCACAACATACATTTTTTTCCTTTCAGTTTCTTGAAGCTGGCAACTACAGCAACATTACCAATGCTTTATTTTGTAATGGCACCTCGGCCTTATCTACTCCCTACAACGGGACTCTGAAGAACAGGGCCGACTTTTGCCTATCGCAAGAAAGTGGTCTTTATCGGCCAGTTTCGAACCTTGTTTCTTCAAAGATTCTGAAAAACGTAAGTTTAAATTCGAAGATAGCTCTTCGAATGCGCGATTGTGCACGTGCACTGGGTATTGGGCGTGTGCATGCTTGATTAAGATTATTTTCTTTCAGTTTGCTGACATTGCTTTTGAAGGTATCCTCCAGACGTCTAGTCTGAGTCGTCAGATGGTCAAATCGGCACTTGGAGACTTGGGCACAGCGCCAACAGTTGTCCCCGAGATAAGGCACAAGCTGTCGCTGCTAGCATCAACTCTGGATCAACGGACCACAAAGGCCCTTTCGAACCTCAATATAACCGAAGACGGAATCAGCGTCTTGACGTGTAAGGAATGACACATCGTTGACTTTACAAAGAAAGCTTATCCGCTTTGTTTTGGGAATTCGTGCTTAAGTGCCGTGTTGTTTTGTGGCTTTCGCAGCTCCGTCAGCTCTCAAGCTTGTTGGTACAATGCTATGCGGCAAGCCACTCAAAGCACTGCAAGAACAGTTTCACTTGCTCGATGCATCTCCACGAGAACCGACACTGGATGCGAGGGAAACAGAAGAACTTCCAAGTGAGTCATTACTTGTTGCACAATTCTTTCCAACACAATCTTAGAGCATGCTGTAACAAAATCTGACATTATTAATGAAAACAACTCTTTGGTGAAAATCTCGGTGATTCATTAGAACGAATTTCATGGAGTAACGGACTAAAATAACGGTCCAGTGAACAGTAAGCAGGGTCAGTTTTGTAAAATATTGTGTAGACCAATGACTGCGTACGATTGTGACAGGTCAGTTTTGTCGTCGGGGATACGAGCAAGTGATGCGTCTAAGTGGTGGCCCCATAATATGGGGGTTCCTGAAACCAATCCTACGTGGACAAATACTGTACAGCCCGAAAACGCCAGAAGCTCTACAAGTCATGCAACAGGTGCGTACCACATGTTCGCAAATGCTGGTTGTGTCTTTCCCAAATAACATGAGCAACGTTTTCTACAAAGAAGTACACCTTCCGTCACCAATATTGCAGATTAACCAAACATTTGACACGATGTCAGTCCTAATTGATGCTCTTCACGCTTGGAGTGAAGGCACCAGTGGACTCAAATTCCTGACTAAAAAAGGCAGCGTACTTTCCAAACTGAAGGTAAAGACTTCTATGTTCTTCGGATTAGTCAGGGCAGGATTCACATGAAGCATTCGATGAAAGTTTAATAAGTGCTCAATTTTTTTCCAGGCCATTGTCACATCAGAAAACCTTGAGTCGGTTCTTGCTGATGCTCTGGGCAGTGACATGCAGATGTTTCTAAAAGAACTGAATGTTGGAGAATTGCGACGGGAGTTTGGAGACCTAGGCGGTCTACTTGACCTAGTTCAGCTGGTGGGAAGCATATCCCAATGCTTTGATCTGGACAGATTTGTTGGATTTGATGATGAAGCAGCTCTGGAAAAAGCTGCAAAGAGTCTTAGCGCACAAAGACAATTTATCGCAGGTATGACTGTTAAATCTAAAAAAAATCAAAGCGATATGCTATTTTAAAATATCTCAGCTTTGCTTTGCTTGATATTATATATATCTCTGCAGGTGATTCTTTATTTAAATGCAGATTTCAGGCGAAGTTGTGTTGTTAAAAAAGGAAGGCATACTTTAATAGTATGAGAACGTAGTCACTGCTCGTTTAAACACTAACAGGATTTAAGATGCGTGAGAGTTGAGGGTGTTACAAAGGAAAGAAAAATGAACTCACTTGTCAAAGCGTTTATGACAGCGTAGAAGACAGAAGTAAGTAAATTATACGCATAAACATACGCTGCGAACTCAACATTTGCAACATATTCGAGCATACGTACACCATATTAACTGTTTGTATATCTTCCACTGGCAGCTGTGGTTTTTCTGAACTTGGATAACAAGAGCAGCGCAACATTGAGTAATGGCTCCAAAGTCAGGCTAGCTCTGCCTCCTCTGGTTCACTACAAGATACGAATGGACATAGATAATGTACCTCTCACAAAAACAGTAAGAAGCAGGTACGTTATGCACAGACATTCTCTCGTAACATGAAATTATTCGCACTAGGGTTTTTAGAGCTGAAATCACTTCTGTACAGGTTCTGGAAGCCCGGACCCAGAGATGACTTCCTGGATGACATGAGATACCTGAGAGGATTTGCACACTTTCAAGAACTGGTTGATAGGGCCATCATTTCTCTGCATACTGGAAACGATCTGTCCCACTATCCTCCCTCTTACGTTCAACAGTTCCCATATCCATGCTACATCAAAGACACGCAAGTACCATCTTTGCTCTTTTAAATCTTAAACATCACTGAAACAGGCATATCAGGGCCTACTCATAATTAAAGAAAACAAACAATAATTTAGTTTTTCCATGTATAGTTTTTACGGGTGTTGTAATCATAGTTTCCGTGTATTAAATTTCCATCTATGTATGGTTTATTTCTTTCAGAGTGGGCTACTATATCAAGGCAATGCTTCCACTGGTTTTTACACTGTCCTGGATATTTCTGGTCGCCTTCTTCGTGCGTGAAAGGGTTCTTCCGAGAGAACTGCATCTAGAAGAGGTAAGACAAAGGGGAAAATGTCGAGGGCTTACACTGTACTTGGGAAAATAAAAATATCACCGCAACGCCCCCTCTCCTATCTTATCTGGCTGGTGAAACTTCTTAGTAAGAAGTAAATCAGTAGAAGCAATGTAATGATAACCAATGATGTACGAGTGAAAAATTGCATGGTATTTTTTACATAGCCTGGTGTGGGCAAGGGGTAACACTCACCGCTAAGAGGAACGCTAATGCGTGCTCCTGTTTTATTCAAATGTCTCAGCAGCTTTGCAACAGGTTAAGTATATTTCAGGGCAATTACAACAAAAAAATCAATTCAACAAATAAATTGTGAATAAGGATGGCGTTTTTTAAGGGGGCGTTCCAAGGCAATGTGTGCTATGAATGCCTCACAAGGCATTCATAGAGACAAAAATTTGGTGAGGCTATGAATACCTCACAAGGCATTCATAGGGACAGAAGTTTTGTCTCTCCCCTCCACGTTTTCCGCCCTGAAAAAAAGAAACATATTCAGAGTGCGCTTTCTGAATAACATTCCTGAATAGCCTGAGTCATAGGCGTAGACTACGGGGGGCATCGGGGCTCGTGCCCCCCCCCCCCCCCCCCCCCTGGTGAGATCCGGGGGAGGGGGGGCAAGGATCATAGCCCGGTAGGGGAATGCAGAGCCCGCCCCCCCCCCCCCCTCGGGCCATGATTTTTACCGAGACGCTGTTTACATGCCATGTAACGAGCTTCTAGTAGTGGCATGTAAACAAAATAACGCACACAGCGATGGACACGTGGCAATATACATACGCTGTAAAATGTACCCCTTAAAATAAACTACTGATAATTGGCGGAGTAAAAACAATTACGCAAAAGAGCACCCCCCCCTCCCCTCCCCCCGCCCCCCCCCCCCCCCCCCCCCCCCCCCTTCGGGAAAATGGAAAGTCTACGCCGCTGGCCCGAGTAACAAAGTGTGCATTTGTTTAAAAAAATGCCAGGCACTGAGAAAAGCGTACTGTGTTTTCCTGTTCTTCAGATAATGCAGGTGATGGGCTTGAGGCCGTGGGTTGACTGGACTGCCTGGTTTCTGACTTGCATTGCTATCTCACTTGCGGTTGTGCTCATCAACACCATCATTCTGTCCTACGGCGGTGTGTTGCCACACAGCGAACCAAGTTTGCTCTTCGTGTTCTATGGAACTTTTGCCCTCTCTGTTCTTGCGTACTGGTAAGTTCTGTTTCGATCTTAATATCTGAGAATGGTGACAGGGTCGCAGAATAATTAGGAAATCTATTTCTATGTAAAAGTGAAGAGCATAGCTGGTGAAGGAGGAGTAGATTAGCGAACGAGAAGGGACACGGAAAGGTTGGAAGAGTTGGTTCTACAGGATAAACATATATTTTTAAGAGATCTGGAGAGTCTACTTTTTCGCAAAGCACACGGGGGAGCCAAATGCAAAGAGCTGCGGAGGGAGCTCGGTGAATCTCAAGGTATTCTGAACACAAAGAAAACAGTCAGCGCTGTGAAACTTAGCACAATGAAACGTCATGCTCATTGCCACAACGCAGACTGTATTTTTAGGTTAAATAATATTTTCAGCCGTGTCATTGACCGATATTTAAGCGATTGGATCCCCCAACTGCTTTGCGGAAAGTTGATGTTCCAGGTTTTTTAGACAGCATTAAAAAAGGCATGGGAAAGGATGATTCAGTGAGCTGTTTGCTTTATGGATCGGCAAGCGACTTAAACTATTTAGATATAATAAAATGTGATATACTTTGAGATGCTGGATTCAGGAGCGAATTGCACAAGATTATAAGGGATGCCGAACGAATACAGTAGTACTTCAAGACCTGTTTCTATTGTTTTTTCAGTCACTTGGTCAGCGTGTTCTTCCACACAGCGACCGTTGCTTCGCTAACGGGGATTGTGGGATACCTCGTTAGCTTTCTTCCATTCGTGATTGCAGTGTCTATGGAAGCCAATCTTGCGCTGGCACACAAACTTCTTCTGGTGAGCTAATCTATGATATGCCTTTTTGTGATATGATGATTTGACCTGGCACTTTAATAGATTTTTGTAACAAACATTGTTATATTTTCAGGGCTTGTCTATGTCGACATCTTTCAGCTACGGCTGCCTGTACGTCAGTCGATTGGAAGAACAAGGCTTAGGAGCCCAGTGGGACGCTCTCTGGGAAAGCCCTATTCCAGGGGACAGCATGAACTTTGGGTACTGCATTGGACTGCTGCTGTTTGACAGCATTATTTACCTACTTGTGGCCTTTGTCGTATCCTCGGTGTTTCAAAGTGAGTCAACAAACGTTTACGAATTCTATCTTGCCTTTTTTACTACAAGCGTATGTTTGCTAAATTAGAAGGGGTAATTTAGTGTTTGCTAAATTAGAAGGGAGTCAAAGAGGGAAGTTGCGATGAAAGGCAAGGATCGTAAGGAGATGAAGAAGGAGGGGAGACTAAAGGAAAGATGGGAAAAATTAATGCAAAGTTGTAAAAAAAAAAAAAAAAAAAACAGGTTGGGCAAACCAGAGCTAAGGACAGGGGAGAAGGAAATAGAGAGGTTGGATGGAACGGGCTAGTCTGTATCACGTGATCGGAGCTTTTCGCGCTAGAAAGTAAGTTTATTGATGTATTTATTTGTTAAAACCACTGATTAGGTGTGTCTTAGGATTGAAAATAAAACAGAATCAGAAAACTTATAAAAACCAGCCGTACAACATTCAATTTGTGTAATCGCCACTGGTTGACTTGCAGGAAACAAAATATTCCAAACCACGTGGTACTCTTGCTTTTTGTTCTGGAAGCCTCGCCCGGAAAAGCTATATTGCCCGCCTGGCTCACTGAGTATCGACCTCAAATCACAGCTGCCGCATGGTAAGAAATCTTGCTCATTTGCATTTTCGTCATGGTTCGTTCAAGGTGCCCTCAGTGTGATGGGGGCTTGGGAAGAATATGTGCAATGGAACATAGATTTTGGTTGCACGTAAAAAGATACCCTGCTGGGGCGTGTTGGACGCCCTTCGTTGGCTTGGCACGTAAACCCCTAATATTTATTTATTTTGTTAGAGCTGCCTAAAAATGCCTTGTAGTTATTAGACGTAACTGATGATACCTACAGCGGTTTGTTATTTTAATATATTATACGTTTACGAAGCTATTAGATCAGCATAAAAATATTGCTTAACACTACTTGCAGTTGAACCGATAAAAAATTACAAAAAATAACAACAAAGACATAAAGAGTGCAATACATACACAGGCAAAAGAATAAAGTCAACAAGCGCATTTAACTGATCGTGGAAGTTAACATTTCTTTCCTACGACACAGACGTCGTAGCTTGTTGGTGTAGGAAATGAGTTGAGGAATAAAGCTTGTTGGTCTAGAGGTATCATTCTCGCTTAGGGTACGAGGCTTTCCACGTTGAAATCCCGGACGAGCCCTAGTTTTTAAACTTTATTTTTGTTAAATTGATAAAAAGACAATCAGTCAATCACAGGAATGTTTGACTACCTTAAGTTGGTATGCACAAAATGTGATGGTTTTGCTCGCTTCCCCACCCTGCCGTGGTTCCTTTGAGGCCTTGGCGTGACGTTAAATCTCGTGACATGGTCATTTTATATGGTCACGTGGTTTCTCACACGCCTCCCGCCCTTGACGCCAGGCTCAGAATATTGGTGTTGTAGGTTTGATTCTCGTTGGTGCACGCTCGGAGGTCCCTCAGTTTCTTCTGAATTATACGTTATTTTGTGTTCCTTGAAATTTGTATCACGTGAGTGTTTCTGCGTGGTGTTGATTCACACTTTCTCTCTGCCATTCCAACCCTTAAATACACGGTATGTTGAAATGGCCGTAAACGGAACGGACCACCGTTGTTGGCGATTTCAGTTTTCTTAATGCGCGCTGACCACGATGCTTTCGTTGTCGGCGGCCAGAGCAATTAAAAGAAGAAGAGAAAACCTTCACATGTTTAACGCGAATTTGTGGGAAACGTTATTTAAGATATATGGTGATATATTAAAAATGAAAAAAAAAACACGGAATTCAGGATGTCACTTAATGAGTTACATTGCTACGTCAAGGACAGGAGGCGTGCAGGTGTCACATGACCAGGTAATGTGATTTGGCTTCACGAAATAATATTTAAAAAAAAGTTTGGGGAAGCGAACGGAACCAACATGTTCCAACTTCATGGTCTTGCGCATGCATGTTTCGTGTGTTTTTTTTTTTCGTGACCTACGAACTATTTTAACGCATTAGCAAGCAATGGTTCTGATGGCGTGTATAGCCTTCATGATACATACATGATATTCAATAGAAATATCCTAAACGTGGCATCAGAAATGTCTAAAAACTACGAAGTCATTTTCTAAACCTTGACACAAACTAAATACATTTTTTGTGCGTCTTTTTAATTTTTACCTTCTCAAGAAATACAACTTTCCTTAGAAAGTCAGCGTCTTGTGTGCCAAATTCTTTCCTTGTCTGTGTATCTTCGGTTTTGTTTTCTTTAAATATTCCCAACATAATGAGGTAGCATATTGTCCATCAAACATTTGGATGAACTATAAACTTCTAAAAGTGTTTAGGCACGAAACTTTGATATAACATGATGTTTTCTATAGAATAACTTTATTTGTTTTTAATTCTAGCTGCCAGCAAATGCCCTGGTCAAAGCCTCATGCCTGCAACCGGAATAGCCATAAAAGACTTAAGCGTCACTTACAACCCTGGAAAACCCACAGAACGTTTCGCTGTTTCACATCTCTCTTTGGATTTTGAGGAGGGCCACATCAACACGCTCCTCGGACAGAATGGAGCAGGAAAAACGACCACAATGTAAGTAATTCATATTAGAATTTTTCCTCTAGAATGGATAATGACTATTGTCCAATCTTTTAGGAACATGTATTTACATTATCTACATAATGCCTTATACTGATGCGCATTCCCTCTCATTTGTATGATCACTGGGTGCCGATTCCCACTAACTTTCCACAGTAATCTTGAACATCTTAGTCACAGTTGGAAATATGAGTCACAACCGGTGTTTTCAATTTTCGTTTCTCAGAAAAGTTCTGACTGGTCAGTGCTCGCCTACGTCCGGCGACGTGTTCATTTATGGAAGGAGCATTACTGACCAACGTGCTGAGTTCAGAAAGTACCTGGGCTACTGTCCACAGTATAACACACTCTATGCAAAGTGAGTGCATCTTCTCCTATCAAGCATTTTGCGAGTGAGCAAATTATCTAATATTAATGAATTCTTATTTTTCCCGCAGGATGACAGTGAAGGAACATCTGATTTTTTTCGGCAACCTCAAAGGACTAATGTCAGCTGAAGAAGTTGAGGAAGACGTTGAAATGTATTCCTGTTTCTTGTTTTTTTTAAATTTTTTTCTAAAATATCAATTTATAATGGCACTTATGCACGAGTTTCATACAGTTGGACTGTACGTTTTAGAGTTGTTATTATAAATATGTCGATTCAAAATTCGAGCACATTTATATTCTACTTCTGACGCTCATATGAGGCCGTTGTACAATACATAATTTAGATATTTTTAGCCTAATAAGCGTGGTCTAAAGTGACGGATAGCTTTGTGAATAAAGAAAAAAGTGACGGATGAAATATTGCGGGGCATTGATTCTTGAAAAAGTTAGATATTCGTATATTTGAAGAAAACTCTATCGCAGACGTGCGTACTGGGAGTCGGAGATAGGATTCCTTCGCATCTTTAAGCGGAATGGAAGCTCGGCCTTGCATTCCCTGCGAAACACTGAAAAATAAAACTTGCCATTTCTATGCTTTTTATAATACAACGACCAAAGGTAATGTGTGGTTAAAATAAATTTTATAGGGCCTCAAATTGCTTTCATAGTAAGCTTAACCAGAAGCTTTACATCACACCAAGTGAAAAAAGAAAATATTGATATGTCGGTCGTAGGTACCAAGCTCAAATTATCGCTAATATAAGACACCACGAAGCTCATTATTAAGGTGTACATTTCCGGTGGGTTAAGGCAAATTCTTATTTATGTTATATGCTTAAACACTGCACTATTACGTTTGCTTTTTGCAATTTTCAAGAGGTAAAACAGTTTTCGGAGCAGGCCTGCTTCGAAAACGCATGAATCTCTCTTAGTAAGTCAGTCCCACTCTAGAAGTTTCACTGAAACGGGCTACTCAGATTAAGGGGCAGTGCGGCTGAGGGTGCCAAGAACACGACTTTTGTAAACATTCTGCCTAACACTGCTAATATCCAGTGACCATGTTCTTTTTGTGTAAACGCATGCCGCCCATAAACATGCTTGGTGATTTCTTCCAGAATGCTGAAGCAAATGAATCTTGCGCATATGAGGGATGAGCAGGCCTGCCGCCTATCTGGAGGATTGCAACGAAGGCTATGTGTTGCGTTTTCCTTTATTGGAGGCTCCAAGCTGGTCATCCTTGATGAGCCTACAAGCAGCGTTGATCCAATGGCGCGACGAAACATCTGGGATCTGATTCTAAAGCACAAACACGGTAAATAAGCCACTGCTCTTGAATTAATTTTGCCTAGTGATATATCAATAATTATTCTTTCACTATTCTCACAGATCGCACCATCTTACTGACAACACATCACATGGATGAGGCCGATGTTTTGAGTGACAAAGTGGCAATCATTCACAAGGTATGTTTCCGATTTAGCACATCCTACAAGGAGTGCGTTGGCGCTGAGTAATTAAAATACTTGTTTCAGGGATGTTTGCTGTGCGACGGCTCTCCTCTTGTTCTCAAGAGCAAGTTCGGCTGCGGCTACCAGCTTTCTTTAACGAGGTCTTCGTCGGAACCTGCTGCGGACAGTGATTCTGGCCACTCTTCGAACATATCGAGAACAAGTGCCGACGGTGTGTATGATTGCATTTCCCATAGCTGTCATAACGTCAGCGTATGCATAACCTGGCTGGCGTGTGTCCACCAAATTCGCTAAATGTCTTGATCTGAGAGGGTTCTTTGTTTATTGCATTATGTGCGAAATTCTCTGTACCAAAATTGTGTATCTAGAACAACTGACCTGAGTAATTCTTACTTAAGTTTTGATGTTTGTGAATCTACGGCACGCCTAAATTGTTTTGCCAACTCGCGACTATCGTTATGGGTTGTGGGGATTCCTGTGATCTCCCTTCCCCGATGGCTGTGATAACGGCCGCGGGTCGGAACACTCGGTCTTCTTCGCCGTGAGCTCCGACCTGTTCGTGAGGCGGAGGGCCGCCTGCATTGGGGGGCGGTCCTCTCACTCTCTCCCGGGGGGACCTCTTTCCGTCCCCCCGCTCGGATGCGAATCACTGCCGACAGGCGAGGAGGTTTCGCCTCTTGTTTTCCCGCTTTCGGGAAAGGGGACTCGTCCGGCTGACCGCGAAAGAGATAAGACGTGTGTCGGCGACTTCTCCGACGCTTCCCCGGTCTTGGCTCTCCGGAACCCCGCGTCTGGCCAGGTAAGGACCTTTTCTTACCTTGCCGGCGCGGGGGGCATTTTGGATAGGGACATTGCAGTTCGTTTAAAAGAGTATGTTAATAAATGCTCTTGGACTCTGTCCTTACTCTGGTACGGGTGTCTTCTCTTCCTCTATATTCGGGAGAGTGAGACAAGGAAGTCGATCATTGGCACCGACGAAGGTAATTAATCGAACCGACTCGCTGTAATGTGGCCCTAAACGTTCGTTTATATTCCCCCGGAGATGTGGGGACCGCGGGCTACTAGGTTTGACGGCTCCTTTGAGATCGCCGCCGCTGTTGAGACAACCCTTTGGTTACTCTATCGGTACCTGTGTTAGTTTTTAGCTAGCAACATCCCACAGGGTATATCGTTTAATATGGTTCTTTTATAGGTCGCGATTAGCGTATTCTGGCGTACAAGTAAAGCACGAAGTTAGCGGAAGCTCGAATGAGTAAACTTTGAAGGAATCTTTTAGGTTGTCTCAGAATGACGGTTGGCATTTTGCAAAAAGAGGCTTCTCTGCGATGACGCAGATCAATAACAAAACATTGGTTCCCATTGCGAGTTCTTCTGGAGAATGTCTTTTTGAATTCTCCCGGGTATAGTGTAATCGATTTAACGGTGGGCGCCTCGACGTAGTGCCACGTTGCGTATTTTGCACATCACATCAGCAAGGGATAAAAGAGGATTGAAATTCCATATTTGCGTTCTGTACAAAATGAAACTATCAAATAATTGCGCAAATGAATGAGATGAAGCCTCTTCCTAACATTACAAAGGGTTACAAAGCAGCTCGAGTGCATGCTGTCCATGTCAGATTTGATATGAGTTGTTAAATACTGTGGCGAATATCTAGTGCCGGTTATACAAAACGTTTCAACAATTCGCTTGCATTTCATTAAAACATTTGCTCTATCTGCACAGATGACATCACTGATCTGCAAGGTATTCTCAAGGTCATCCGGAGTGTTGTCCCGCTGGCTCAGGTGGCAAACGACCACGGAGGAGGGGAGGTGGTTATCAGCCTTCCTCAGCGGGATCCAACCGAGAACACGGTCTACCCGTTTTCAGAGCTGATCTCAGTCCTCGACGAACGCATGCTTGAGTTCGGCTTCGGAACCTACGGGTTTTCTAGTACAACCTTGGAAGAAGTGTTTCTGTCACTGTGCGCGGTTTGTGACACTGAGTACGGTTCCAAAGCAGCAGCGCAGTCTCTCCAGTCATTGTCACAGGCTGCAATGATCAGGCTGCACGACAAATTAGACAGAACGCACTCGAAGGGTAAGCTGTTGTGTTTATACTTTTAAATAACTTTTTTACATACGTTGTTTTAATGGTGGTCTTATTGTCTAAATTCTAGTGCCATCTGCCAATTTGAGTGTAGATTGGAATGTTATGAACGGTACTGTGTACACTTTGAGAAACCTAATAGCGATGTCAAAAGGTTACGAAAATGTTTGCTACCGTTGACATTGCTAATTATGTGTGGTATGACGGAGAAAAAACATATTCTTTACATTTATGTCATAACCAATCTAGAAATAAGAATTACTCATAAAACAATGTAAGAACATTTTTGTATTGCGATAAAACTTAAAAGTATTTAAGACCACATTAAGGCAAATATACATTTTGAAGAGGTTGGAGTGGCAATTTTGGAGGCCATATATGTTACGGAATTATAAAGCGCTTGTCGTAAAGCTCACTGCGAAATGCAATTTATCAAAACATGACATAAAACAGCATTGCCTTTTAGTTATGCAGCCTAAAGTATCGATGCCACGGATCTACATTCATTTCATACATACGCACTTTCTCTACTCTAGTAGTAGTGGTAGCGGCCACGCATAAGAAAGACAGATTACCGAGCTTACTTGTCGAACTTAACGTGCTGATTTTATACATTTTCAAGTCGCAGTGCGTACCCAAATATATTTCTACAGTAAGATACCAGTTTAAGCACGCAATGTATGCGTTACTGAAAGCTAAAAAATGTATATTATCAACATTATGTCACCAGTAAATATTTAAAGTTCCATGACTAGGAAATTTTTCTTCAGATACTCCAGTGATCGGAGGAGAGCGCAGCCTTTCCGGGGGACATGGACTTTCTGGTAGTGCCCTGAAGAAGAGCCAGTTCAAAGCACTGTTATTGAAGCGGTTGTACCACACCGTGAACAACTGGAAGGCCATCTTCTTCAGCATTGTGCTGCCTTGCATGTTCATTGCTTTGGCCATGGGGTTCACGTTGATTGTTCCAGTTCCAAAACCGGAGCCGTCGCTTCGGCTCACAACTCAGCTCTACGGGCCAGGGGCGACTGCTTTTATTAGGTGAGAAATTCCCGTCGTCTTAATTTTAAATTTTGAATGTGGTATGCTCACAAAAAAATAATGACAAAACTAGAAAAAATATTTTTCTATTTAATCTGTACGAACAAGAGCACTACTAAGGAGCTTTTGTTCACCATAGTTTTGTTTAGAGTCAGTAATCGCCTGTGATTGCCATTCAAAGATAAAACTCAACTGGAGCAACGCATGTAAGTTCTAAGCTTTTTTTTCTCAAGAGATACACTTATACCTATCTGTTCTGCCGCACTTTTTACAAGCAGCTATATGTCCTGAGATAATTCTATTTGTCTATTTACCAGTGAGAAACCACCGACGCCAATATCAGAACGGTTGCTCTCGCCTCCTGGAATCGGGACATCCTGCGTGGGCAAGAATAGAGCAAGGTGAGCCAATTTGTTTTAGTAATTTGATAACGATTTCACTGTTTTTAGCATTACGTATAGTTGGAGCTTATGGTGTTTTCACTTACCGCTCGTCCGAAGAGAGAGCTCAAGTCATTCTGATTGCATTGATTGAGGCGATGTTCTGGTGTTCGGCGGCTTAAAGGACGTCCAAACAGGATACTTCAGAACGCGTGAAGCGACACTTCTCCGCGAAATGATGATAGAGTTGAAGTCCCGCCGTCCGTCTTCTGTTTGGACGTTCACCTGGCAAACATCACGGCTTTCCTCCTCTCCTCCTTTGCTTATCCGTGTCGTCGGTGCATGTCCATCTGTTCTGCCGCGCCTTCATATCATTTCCTTTCCCGTTTTCGGGACTAGACTTGGAACAGCAGCGGAGGCCATGAGAAATTCAGTGACAGCCAACAGGGCGTCTTAGTGGCTCTCCGGACCCACGCGATGAGTGTGCTCTAGGCTTCCGTAAAGGACACAAGCGGACTTCGGAAAAACAAGCTCCCCGTCCCCCCCCCCCCCCCCCCCCCCCCCCAAAAAAAAAAAAAAAGGACGGAGTTGGATCTTGCCGCATTTCATATGGCGGAAAAGTATTGCTTCACGCGTTCTTGAAGTTTCCTGTTTGAATAGCCCTTTACCCCGGCCATTGCTGAAGGGCAACGTTCCCCTGCTACGCGCTCATGCCCCGCAGCCCCAGCCCAAGTTATCTGCATATCCTAAAGGCTCATTCACACTGCCCTCTATTTTTACGTAAAGCTACGTTACGTCTGAGTCACCGAAACATTCGTGTCTGGAATGTCGCGTCTCACGCTTTCTCCTTGAACTGGCTGCCTCGCTTAATATGAAGCACAAAAGTCCCGGTGACTTCAACGTAATATTTCGTAGCATCACTTAACGTAAGAAAATGGGTCCGTGTGAATGAGCCTGAATTCTCACATACTGTAACTAATATGTAATATTAATGTGCTTCGTTGCCACTGACGCGATTTTTTCTTTCTATCTTGTCTTGGTCGGGGAACGTGCAAACCTTGGAATGCGTTCTTTCTAGCTCTCACTGTGGAATCCGGCTCAAAGAAGTCAAGAGTGAGAAACCAACGCTGAAGGGAATTCTACACAACACGTGCGACCTACCGGATATTAAACAGCAACTGCGAGGTGTCCCAACCATTACCTCTGAAACTTCCGATGTCACCTACAACATCAGTGGGTTAGATATATCGGACCACCTCCTTGGCTCTTACTCTGCTTTCATAGAAAGAAGGTAAGATGGAAAATTCCAAAATATTCAGGCTATTCCTCTCATCTAATAGTTTTTATTTTTAGCCTTAAGGGGTGCCGTTCACACTTTTGCGACCGAGTTAGACCGAGAGAGACCAGACCGGTTTTAAAGCCTCTTGCGACGTCTTAGGACCAGCTCCGCTGCAGCGCATCCGGTTCTAAGACATCGCAAGAGGCTTAAAAACCTGTCTGGTCGCTCTCGGTCTTACTCAGTTGCATATGTGTGAACGGCGCGTTATTCTCAAGACGTAATATATAGAGGCAATAAAGATGTACTCTAGACGGCAACTCCGTACGAATTTCACTTCTTGTAGTGTAACTCTAGTTTTTGACATCGAATTTAATGAATAAAGTTTGGATACATTGAGGACCAAGGCAATATATTTTAAACAAATATGATGTCCCCCACTATCATATTTAGTTTATTTAAACCGGTTATCTCTCGAACATTTTACAATCTAAACTTTCAGGTCATCGATTTTTAGGTAATTTTTGGTGTTTTCTTGTTCGCTCTGTATAAGTTTTACAGCTAAGGTACCTCCTTTTTCAATGGAACTTACGTGGTCTATGTATTTATACATATTTGGAACATAAATTCCGCAGCTTCTGCAATTTACAGCCAAATATGCGAAAATCACAATGAGAGATAAAGAAAACCTTTTAAAATCTTCACTGTATAGGACATTTTAAGCTGGCAGTAGCCATTGTTAGCTTAAAAAACTCATGGCGTGGGACGTCTTGAGCATTTCATTATCGCTTCATAGAGAATGCGATTCGACATTATCTGAATAGAACGCCAATGAACTAATCAAGAAGAAATAAGTGTGAACATTAATAAAATCACGCACTGTTTCTCAAGCTCTCAGTGACTGTACGGGTATTTCAGGTGAAAGTGACATAAGTTCTTTAAGAACTTTAACCTTCTGTTAATCGAACTTGGTTGATGCAATGAGCACAAGTTTTCCGGTAAAGATAACTTTAGAACTTCATTTTACACCTTTAGGTGGAAACTTTAACGTAAACAATTCCCTAATAGCTTGGCATAATCTGTTCCACATTCTATAACATATTTTGTAAATGCCATTTCATTGAAACATTATGCGTTCCACAACAGGTATGGAGGGTGGTCCTTTGAAAAGGATCACGTGAAGGTGTGGTACGACAACACTGGCTACCATGCTTTGCCAGCGTATCAGAACGCGCTAAGTAACGCCGTACTAAGATCCATGCTCAGCAACTCCAGCTCACCCCTCAAAGCATCATCAGTGGGTGAGGAGCGTTTAACCCCTTTCAGGACAATAAGGACACATGCTACTAAGCCTCGCCAGAGCCACCGACAGGCAAGAAAAATATAAAAAGGATATTTAAGTAAAAAGCTTATAAATAACCCAATCTTTGTGAGGAGAGCCCATTCAACTTTGACTCTATTCCGTTCCGTATGACAATTTGTCAAAATAGTCATTATAAAGAAAAGTATTTACGAGCCTCACACTGGCTGCAAGAATGATTGATTTTGGGCTAGCAGACATTGATTCAATCAGTCAATCAATGAATCAATACACAAGTAATTAAATACATAAATCACTCGTTTTTTGTAAAGGCAAGTTAAAGGATGTTGAAAAACCATCTGACCTCATAGCCATACTGCATCACGTTAAACAGATTGACTTCAAGATTATGGTCTTCTGAGAAGCTTGATAACTTAAGAGTATATTTTATGATTCGTATAGAAAGAAGGATTTCAATTTATAAATTGAATAATTAAAATATCTAAATAATATTTGTGAAGTAAAACGACAAACAAAACTAATATACATTGTTTTTGTTCAAGGAATCACTGTTTACAACCATCCTTTGCATTTGTCGTCTGAGCAGCTTGGAAAAGAAACAATGTGAGTTGACTTTAGCTTTGACTTTGAAAACGGATTGCTAGTATTTTATTAAAAAGAAATATATATGCGTTAATATACATTATTTAAAATTCAGTTTGAAGAACTACCTACAAAAAATCAGAACATTTTGGTGACAATTGAGTTTGATTTTTTTAAAGGTATGAAGTGAGACAAAGCTTTATGTAGAATAGTAAAGTTTTGATAGAAAAGTTTATATTCGGCAAAAAGAAAGCGAGCCTGGCCTATGACGCTGTTTTTGTTTGTAAACGGCAAATGGTTTTGCTTAATTATTTTAGATCTGTCCAGAACAAGTTTGAGTAGGTAATACTTTATGTAACGTAACATGAAAAATACAGCAAAGAACAACATCTGTCTAGGTCAATTTTGAGTAGATAATACTTTGTATAACATGAAAATAAAAACGGCAAAAAAAAACCTTAATGACCTTTACATCATTTAGAGTGTCATTCGCAAAAAATATATATATATAGTAGTAAAGGGCTACTTTTTTTTAGAATGAGCAAATGCCTGCAGACGTGCTTGAGAGTGTTGTAGCGTAGTTGCCTGCACATAGGCATAAGGGAGCTTTTTTGGTTTTCAAACCGCAGTTACGTGCCAACCAAAAAACGAATGTACAGTCATTGGCAATACGAGCTGGCCCGATTTCGTGCTAGCCGAGAAAGGTTAGCTCGTGGCACGCACAGCGATTACGCCACACTCTGTGCTTCGGATGCAGAACGTATTAGCAAATTTTAACTGATTGTTTCTGCATTGTTTGTACCCTCGCAGCGTGAGCCACGTGGCCGAAGTTGGCATCGCCATCGTTATACTCATGGGCTTGTCCTTCATCCCATCACGCGTCGTGGTCTACGTTGTGAATGAGCGTGTCCGCGACGAAAAACAAGTTCAAAGAATATCGGGCATCGGACCCTTGCTCTACTGGACCACGACATTCATCTGGGACATGGGTCTTGTCTTGGCAGCTGTGATCTTGTCCTGCCTCATCATCGTTGCTTTCGGGCTACCTGTCTATGTCAGCAAGCTAAACTTCCCTGCGGTTGCTCTTCTTATGGTCTTGTTTGGGTAAGCGTGACTCTCATCTGAACAGAATGTGTTATTAGACGATTGATGATTTAAATGATATTATGCCTCATTCCTTTGCGTTGAAACCGACAGCTTTATATGAGAAGCCTCTACGAACCTTGCTTTCTTGTGTTATAGTATTGGTGTTGGTCGCTCTGCAGCAAGGCCATGGGAGAGAGCGCCAACAAAGGAGCGCAGGCGCAGCTGTTGATTTGACTCTATAGCGCTCGGAATCAATGGTGTTGCGCCGCGCGGGGTGTGTGTGGAAAAGAGAGGGGGGGGGGAGATAATCGGTACGCTAACCTTTGCTGCGTAAGAAGCGGGTTGCGTACTTGGTTAGGGACTGCGTGTTCGTCATATCGCACGGTAATTGGATTTGGTGGAACGTCTATGCCAGTAGAAATTTGCCTTCGGGCTGAACAACTTCCACAATACTCTTGTTTTGTTGTCACATTACTGCTGGCGACGGTCTATGAAGCTTTTCTATAATAGTAATGATATAGTAGTCGCCTTAGGTTATCTACAGAAGGTTTGCGCACTGTCGAGTCTTCTTAGTAACTCAGGTTTTTACAAGATCCCGGTGTGAGACAATTCCACATTTAAAATACTAGTCCTGTAGCACTAAATCAGTATGTTGGTGGTGACTACCTTAAAAAAAAACAACTAAAGTATTTATCGTTGTATTTAGTTCCAATTCCCATACGTAATGCTAATTTTATATTCGTGTGAATCACAAGCATGAGGCCCGGCCGTGGATGTTGTAATGTGGACATTGTATTGGTTAATAATTTTTTTTTATATTTTCACGCAATCTGGCGGTAGTTAATGTAGAAAAACGGACGACATCGTACGGATAAGATTTATCGTTTTATAGTTCTTCTCTTCCTTCCCGAATCGGAATGTCGCAATCGGGTGTTTCCACGTTAGATCGTACAATGAATGTCAGTGTCCTATTTTTTTTATATTTCTGTAATAAATATATGTGAAAGCCATGTTCTTGGGAGGAAAATTCAGCTATATGTGAACACCAAAGCTAAATTGTTTCCCCAGATATATAAAATTGAGAAGCTCGAGGCATGGACATTGCGGAGATTTCACTATGGTAATTTGCACAGCCGCCATTGTTACACCAAAGCAGGCACGTAGGTAAAAAATTAAAAAATTATTTTATAGAGATTGTGCAGCATTAATACATAATATTTAAATTACAATTATATATTTCTATGACAACAAAAATTTCGAAACACGTCGAAAAACACGTTTCCGAGAACATTTCACAAATTATGTACTAAGAAACGACTTTACGCAAAACATCGCAAGATATATCAAAATATATGTCTTGCAATGAAGCTTACGAATATATAAAATATTTGCTTAGCCATTATACTAGTTTTGTTAATGCAGAAACGTAAATCATTTCTCTTAAAAGTAACAATATTTCACGTAAAAAAAATCTTCCATCGGATATTTTTTTAAAGCTTTTCATAACTTCTTACAGTAACTTCAACAAACCCATGATAAGAATAAATTGAGTAGTATACGGCCGTCAATTGAGAAAAGCGACAACAAACCTTCGCTCAAATTGAGCTAGATTGTCTTCGTTGTAAAGGCTTTGCCGTACGACGTCGGCTCCAAAGAGATATTCTCTAAAGCCGACAAAGTCTGTACAACAGGGCTGCTCTATTGCAAAGCATATAAAGTCGTCATAACTTAAAACCATGAGACTACAAAGAAAAAAAATACGGACCCCTACATCTCAAGAACAGCTGAGTTTATTTAACCTCATCGAAACAAGAAAAGATCAAGAAAACAAACAGGGTGTGGCGCAGATTTGAGCAGACGTTGCTTGACAGGCTAAATTCGCGCAACACTAGACACGCTTCCGACAATGAGCATCCGCCGCCAAGCACCCGCAAAGATCATCTCCGTCAAGGCTACGATCACCGACCAACTTCCTAATCTCAGGGTGTTAGATTAAGATGTTTCCTAACCAGCTCGTTTGCGTGCATTCCATTTCCAGAAAGTCGTACTGTCCCAAGCTTTGTTCTATCTTTTTTCCCCTTGTATTGCCTACTATGGAGTATCGGCAAACGCCACCGCTGCCGGCGGTTGCGAACAGTATGAATGGCAGTTTGCCTTTAATCTCAAGCGAGCACACAAGGAAGGTCAGTCAACCGCGTAAACAAAAATAAGGGAAGAAGTACCTGGGGAGTCGCTATTTTGGCGTTCAGTATTGTGAGGTGGAAAATAAACAACAATGGCTTACTTCGTTACTTCAAAGTATCGACGCGTAACGTAACGTACAAGGAATACTGGTAGAGGATGGTAATCACAAGGACGTTTTTTTCCTGTTTTGGTTTCACCACGCTAACCTAACATTTGGAGCCTGGAGAGGCCCACAGAAACTCCCATATTAGCGGTTGGAGAAAACTTGTGAAAGAAGACTTTCCTCGCTTTGTTTACACAGTGACTAACCGTTCCTTGAGTGCGCGCTTGAGTTTCAAGGTAATCTTCCATTCATACTCTTCGAAACTGCAAGCTGGAGTGGCGTCCACCAAAACGCCTTAGGAAATTAGAGGGGAGGGGGATTGGGCTTAGGAGGCAAAAAACAGAAAGATGAAACAAAACTTGGGGCAGTATGACTTTTTGAAAAGTGAACACACGCAAATGAGCAGGCTAGGAGACATCATAGTCTAACACCCTGAGATGAGGAAGTTGGTCGGTATTTGTAGTCTTGACCGAGATTATCTTCGCGGGTGCTTGGCGGCGGACGCTCGTTGTCGGAAGCGTGTCTAGTGTGGTAGAGATTTAGCCTGTCAAGCAACGTCTGGTAAATTCTGCGCGATAACATGTTCTGTTTTCTTGACATTTTCTTATTTCGATGAAGTCAAATAAACCCAGCTGTTCTTGAAATTTAGTGTTGTGTTGTCCATTTTTTTTTATTCTTCGTAGTATTATGGTTTTAAGTTATGACGGCTTTCTACGCTCTGCAACAGAGCGTAGAAAGCCAGCATTGTACACACTTGGTCGGCTTTAGAGAATATCTTTCTGGAGCCGACGACGTGCGGCTAAGTCCCATAACGATGACAAGCTAGCTCAATATGAGTGAATGTTTGTTGTCCCTTTTCTCAATTGAAGGCCATATGACACTGAATATTTAGCCATCTCGAGGTAGTTCAGTTACTCCAAGTAATTAAGGAGAGGTTAAAGAAAACAAAAATATGGAGTTTTTTGTTTTTTTTAATAGTGGAGTGCACTTATGCTACTTTTAGAAAAATTACTGAAGTTTCTGCAATTATGACGAAATTACAATAATATATTGGTATGCATGTTGTCAATTGACTATACAATAAGTGAAAAATGTTTTAGCTACGTGCCTGCTTTGGTGTGACAGTGGTGGCTGTGAAAAAAATACCGTGGTGATATCTCTGGGCAATGTCCACTCCTCGAGCTTCTCAATTTTATATATCTAAAAAAAACATTTAGCTGCAGTCTTCACATATAGCTGAATGTTCCTCCGGAGAACATGACTTTCACATAAATTTATAACAGAGATATAAAAAAAATATGAGCCGGACAGCCATTGCACGATTTGACGTAGAAACACCCAGCTGGAACTATCAAGTTAAAATGGGATCGCGTCCGTCGGGACTAAGTATAAAAAGACAAACATTTAAAGCATACAACACTCACTGCACGTTGAAAATTCATAATCTGCGTGACAGTTGCGTTTTGTTTTCACCAAGATATAGTGTGGTTACGGTTTTATGTCACCAGAAATCACCTGCCTGAATTCTCTGTTATTCGTTGTTTATAATTTGCTTGTTCATTTTTTTATAAGAATTGCAATTTTTACTTAAATCATGTCTAATATATTACATCGCGTGCTGCCTAGGAAGTTATGTAAGATATACATGCAAAAAGGTGGGAAATTGTAGTGGGGATTCGCATTGTCTAATCATAAATTGTATTGAACGATTCCAGAGATAAAGTAATTTAAAAAAATAATTTTAGAGCGCAGCTCTTAGGCGCCCGTTTCCGGCTTGTGCGGCGTCGGCGTCGCTGTCGGCGTAACCGCGAGGTCACGTTACCCCCAAGGTCACGTGACTCCCAGAGGTCACGTGACTCCCAGAGGTCACGTGACTCCCAGAGTTCACGTGACACGCAAGGTCACGTGACACCCAAGGTCGCGTGACACCCAAGGTCACGTGACTCCCCAAGTCACGTGACCCCCCCGGAGTTCACGTGACCCCCTCCCCGAGATCACGTGCCCCTCCTCCCCCCGAAGTCACGTGACCCCCTCCCCCCGAGGTCAGGTGACCCCAGGAGCATATTCAAGAATGAGGGGAGGAGGAGGAGAAGGAGGAGGAGGAGGGGTCTACCCTCCCCTCAGTACCCTTCCCTCCTCCTCCTCAAGAGTTGCACTCCAATTCGGCGTTACAGGGAGTTGTAAATGGCTTTCACTTTTTTTAGATGTAACCTTACTGCAAATTTGATTTTCCTTTCAAGGTGGGGAGCGACGCCGTTGATGTACTGCCTCTCACGACTGTTCGAAGAAGCAAGCATATCTTTTGTCGTGCTGTACTGCGTGAACCTCTTCGTAGGTCTCAACATAGCTATTATCATACTGGTCCTCAACGTTGTGCAATTCAGTTTTGTGAGTATCTATGATAAATATTCCTAATTTGGTTTGATAATAGCTAGCATATTTGTGGTCGCTAACATCTTAAGAAATTCAGGGCTGCGGCTTATTATGTTCACACTTTTTGATTTGTTATTCATCCGGCGTTCTTATTAGCTCATGCTGGAACCTCACTTGCCGCGAAGCATTAAATCTATGTTCAGGATGTCCCACATACAAGGTAACTTAATCGGTCTGTGACTGTACAATAAAGAAAAGATGATTACTAAATATCAGTATATCACTAGCTGGTAGAATCAAGCGTTTTATATGACCTACCACTATTTTCTAAGCTTCGATAGAAAGTTTAGACATTATGCTCGGAAGCGAGAGAAGGCTAAGGTTTTTAGAATTAAACGTACTGTTTAAACTGCAGGAATCGAAGGTTCAATATCACCCGCAGATGCAAACAACTCTAAAAAGCTTTCATGAACCTGTCACTTCGGTAAAAAGTTATATTTCAACAAGAGTACAATCTTCAATGAGCGCCGATCATCTTGAACGCGCTCGGTGTTTCGTGGTCGGTCGTCGAAGTTCGTTATGACAGCAGGCGAATGAAGATGCTGCCTTTCCCCGTCGAAATATAGACGAACGCTTCCGCTGAACCCCACTTGCCAGGTGATATGTAAAGACCAACCAAGGGCGCGGGTGCCACTATATAGTTAAGAGTGTTTCAATGTACTGACTTGACATATGCTACTTCTCTGATAGGCGAAAAAAGGGGGCGAGGGGTCTAGAGAATTTGTACAAGCACTTAACTTTGCGAAGAATTCATCTCACAAGTCGTGCTGGTTGCTATCAAAGTTTCAGGCTCATTACGTTGTCCGGCACAATGTTCTGTTTAAAAGGGGGGCTCGTGCAGGGAATGCAAATGTATTAGCAACACGATCACGGACATTCATACCCGCAGCGCTTCACAATGTTCTTGGTATTGTAAAAAATACGCTCGCAAGCTAATACGTGTATTCGATTACGTTGGTGCTTGGTAGATCGGCAACCGGACGCTGCTAATTTATGTTTTTAAGGGGCGTTGCTTTATGAGGATATTGAGATCTGTCTTCTAGTAAAGCGTTCCTAAGGTTGTGTTGATACGTGAATTTCTGATTTTTAATACGTTATCATTTGCAGAAAGACCAGCGAATCCTTTCGGCGGTGCAGAATCTGGCTTTGATATTTCCGCAGTATGCCCTGATTGGTGGACTGGTCAGTTTGACCAAAAACCAGATCCAAGCTGATGTGTACCAGCGGTTTGGTCAAGACACCTACGAGTCTCCTTTCAGCGAGCGGATTCTGGCTTATAACTACTGCGCCATGTTTCTTGTTGGAGTCATCTGCTTTTGCGTTAATCTTGTGTTCGAGTACCACTTCATCAGAGGGCGAAAGTCTCAGCCGTAAGACTGACTTTCCTACCTATATTCTCTTGCAGTCTTTCATGGGTTTTTTTCTACTGGAATTTCTATATATCAGTGCCGTTCTTAAATGTCTATTATCTTGGTACTAGTTATTAAATTTTTGCTTCACTCCAGTGATCTAGGCCGAAAATTCTTGAATATATATATGCATGTAGGGAATGTGAGCTTTACTTTTTTATTGCTAGTCATTAGAATTTCATTTATTATATTCATTAGATTTTAAAAAAAGCCAGTTTAGAAACCAAAACTGTCAGCCAGTTTTTAATAACAGACGTGGTTACTGTCTTTGACGAACTCAGGAAAACTTAAGCCGTTAACAACTTTTTCAGCTTGGAAAGACAGTCTTCGGTGCCTAACGAGGACTGCGACGTATCAGCAGAGCGATCACGCACCACAGGCGATGTCGGGAAACAGGACGTACTCAGAGTTGTGGACGTGGTTAAGGTGAAGGGTCATATGCAATATCGAACCACTTGGCTTTGAAGTGTTGTGCTCTAATGTTACTCCGGCTAAACTTGAATCGTATGCAGGTATACCATCAGGGATACAAGGCCGTGAACAATGTGTCATTCGGAATACCCAAAGGCGAGGTTCGGACCACTGCTTTCTTTCATAGCTACTCGTTCCTATTTTCGCTTCTTCAGAGAAGGTAATATACCTCGGAGAAACTCTAATTGGTTTATTGTTACTCTCTTACACTTTCACTCAGTGTTTTGGACTGCTTGGAGTAAATGGAGCAGGAAAAACCACGCTGTTTCGAATTCTTACTGGACAGCTGCAACCCACTAAGGGCGGAGCATTCATTCAAGACAAGAGGTTTGTTTAGCATATTTCTCGAAGAGTGTTTCGTTTGGTTCGCTCATGGCGAGAGCAAACAAACAGGTCAATTTTTTGCAGTTTGGCCAAGGTCTTCTCAAAGGGCACTCAACTTGTTGGCTACTGTCCTCAAGCAGACGCCCTCGATGATTTGCTTTCTCCTAGACAGCATCTTGTTATTTACGCAATGATGCGTGGAATCTCACAGTCCAGAATGAAGATGGTTTGTTTCATTTTTATCTCTGTATATAATTGTGGAATACATTTTATATTGTTTCGAGTAATCGAGTACCAACTCTCCCAGTTCACCACCTTACTAGAGTTGTTTTCTGTTTGGGTTCTGTCAGGTGGTTGAAGAAGCGCTTGCAAGATTCCAGCTCACAATGTACAGCAATCACCGGGTTGGAACTTTGAGCAGAGGAACGCGACGGAAGGTGTGCACAGCCATCTCGATGCTTGGAGACCCCCAGCTCGTCCTTCTGGTTTGTAATAGTCCGAACTTTAACGATACATTGCTGCATTGTTATGCAAACAGCGTTGCCGTAAAAAAAAAAAAAATTCCGCTCTACTTTGTTAGGACGAGCCAACCAGTGGGATGGATCCAGTGACACGTCGGCTGGTCTGGGCTAATGTCTCTGAGGCGGTTCGAGACAAACGCTCAGTGTTGCTGACATCACACAGGTGACTAGATGCTTTGCGAATTTGGAGCTGTTCGTAATTTCTAGAAGTTGTACTTTCCGCATGGTGAAGTTTCTAATTGTGCGCGCTTTTGTTTTTTAGCATGGCCGAGTGCGATCTTCTGTGTTCGCGCCTCGCAATCATGGTGAACGGGAAGCTTCGCTGTGTTGGCAGTCCTCAGTATCTGAAACACAAGTAAGGATGCCTACGGTTCTGTAATACTGTAATTACAATTTATACCTATAAAATGGCCGTACAACGTACTAAGACCAAGGGTAGTGTCTTGATTGTTGTATAGTCTCAAACATATTCTATCATGTGTTACCATCAAACTGATAAGCTTCAAACCAGAATTATATATAAAAAAATTCTGGTTATAGTAGCACGTACTGAGCTAATTCTAAATTTTAAATGAGAACTTTTGTTTCTCTGGGATGTTAGTACAGGGTGTTGTTAGCTTCTAAACCGCGACTGTTTAGGGAGCTAAACCTAAGCCCGGTTTCCACTAAACCCGATTTTAAAGACGCGACCAGCTGCTCTCTAGCGGGCAGTAAGCGGGTTAACGTTTAGTCAAGGAACGCTGGCGCAGCACCCAACGTCACGTCGCGGTCGTGCAGCTGATGATCAGTGTTGCCGTCCCTCTAGCAGATAGTTTCGGTTTTGCCGTGGACGCTCGAAACCAAAGTTTGAGCCGTGATATTTATGAAACTATACACAATATCGAGAAAAAATATGTACCTTGTAATTCAGGGACACTGCATTAGCTGTAAACAGTCGTAATAAAAAAAATCCAATATATTGTCCAGAGGTGCCTTTTAAGGAAGCAACTATCAGTGCCATGCGACTGGAAATACATTTTGAGTTTCAATCTAGGCGCTTGGAAAATTCAGTACGACGCACGGAATAGGGCTCTTATGCAACCCTTTCTAAATTTTAGTATTTCTTAGAGTATGAAAGAGATGGCAGCTTTAACAAAATCTCGATCAAGATTATGCGCTGCCTCGGAGTGTTCAAAACTCACCCATTTCATTTGCTTCTGTTTAGATTTGGAGCCGGCTACACCGTTACACTTCGCATGGTCGAAAATCCAATGGACTGGGAACGCATAATTTGTTTTATTTGTTCCGCTTTCCCAACAGCGTCACTAAAGGTATGCGAGCACGCAAATGGTTCGCTGACTTCCCTATGACTTAGGCTGAGCGCAGGTTGCTTATCGTCATATAAAAAAAAAAACTCCACGTTTTTTGATTCGGTGATTCCATTTTTGACGTTTTTATCGGTTAATCCAGCAATCGGATTGGCTGAAAAACAATAATGAGATTCACAGGGCTCGCCACGCCCTGCGTTTTTTAAGCTGTCACTGGCTATACATAATATGAACAATAGTTCTTGAGGTAGATACTATAAACCATGGTTCATGAACGCTAGATTTGCTGAGGTTGTGACACGTTTTTGAAGGCAAAACTGAAAGTGATACTTCGTTTTCAGGCACACCACTACAACATCGTGGAGTTTAGCCTGCCTTTGAAACAGGTCACACTTTCTTCTGTATTCAAGTTCTTGGAAACGAACGGAAGCAAGATGGGCATTCTGGACTTTTCGGTTTCACAGACTACTCTAGATCAGGTGGGTGACGCCATTGAAATTTCCATTTCGGATGTACGGCGGGGGGGGGGGGGGGGGGGTGCCAGTCTTCCAGTAAGAATCGCGAAACACACGGAATTTGATAAGCTGCTTGCAACACTACACGTGAAAATCCATTTAAGTTTGGGGGCATATGATAGTCTCGTTCGTCTTGATTAGGAGAAGGTTAAAAAAAACAGAGAAACTCGACTTAGAGGTATGACACCTGAAGTTTTTTGTACATTTAGTCAAGGTGTGAATCACGCAATAGTCTGGCTAGTTAATCAAAGCAACCCGGATAAACGTTCTCTTTTCGGTTGTGCGTGTGCCAGCTCTGACACAGTTGAAAAAGAGCAGATGGTTGGGGGTAAAGAAGACGAGGAGGCCGAATTGCGATTCCTGCCACACTTTACAATAAATTTACTTGGTTGTTCAATGAAGGTCGCGCGGCAGCGATTCTGTCCAGAGTTAATATTCTGTGGCGAACCTCTCCACAAACTGAAGGGATATTGTCTTTATCATTTTAGCGATCTCGTTTGTAGCATGATGTGGGCCTGTCTTAAATCCGTCGCTATGAAACACAAGGCGTATTAATCATATCTCATGACGATTTAGTTAGGAAAATGTTCGGGACGGAGTCGCAGGTAAACATTAATGACGACACACTCACATCCTCCCCCTTCCCCATTCCGGCCCCCCGAAAAGCAAACAACAAGAAACAAATAACGACAGCGAAAGAAAGGTTTTTCTTTTTTTTTCTTTTCTTGAACACTGACAGAAAGTGGAACAAAGATACTACCCACTTTTTTGACCGAAAGGTGTGTTTGCTGAGAAGGACGAACAAAGACCAGCAGTGGAGAATGCGATGTCAAGGTGTATTACAGTCGAGGGAACGCGACAACGCGCTCATTGGTTTTCTACTTTTTAAATTTGCACATTATGGATGTTTCAGTTATCATAATATGACTTTTTGGTGATTCTATTATTTTTAACTATCGATGTGTTTATTAGATGGCCTGAAACTATTTCGCGGTCGGTTTTTTAACGGCATGCGGCAAAAGAAAAAAGTGAGATCAACCCTGGTAACTCGACTCTTTACCGGTGGTTTTATGTGCCAAAGCAAAAGCTAGATCTAAAGCCAGAAATATTTTATTTTCTTCGGCCTTCGTAGGTTGTATTTTAGTAAATCTAGATGCTAGTATAAATCCCTTTAATTACATCTTTAGGGCCTGCGAAATTTAATGAAACTGACAATTAAATCTAAACGTAAAAGCGTAGAATGCCTTTTAGCAGCAATTAACTCCTTTTGCAATCACAGAATAAAGCCAGCCTGTTATAAGGTAGTTATCCCCGCAATCACAGTTCACGACCCCGAAAGATCCCGCCGTTGTAACAAAAACTAACAATGCGCACCCGTTCTGCAGGTGTTTGTGAACTTCGCCCGGCAGCAGTCAGATGAATCAGCATGCGCCGAAGAAGAAGATGACGGCACCGTCGGAACGAGCCAGGAGCAAGCCATCGTCGCTAAAGACGAGTTCTCGGGGGTGCAGGTCGTGACGCCAGGAGCACCCGCCATTCCCGAGTACGAGTGCGAGTGCGAGAATACCAAGTTTTAGCGGTCACGAGACGTAGAGTGGCGGCTGCATGAGCTCTTGGTCAACACCACCTCCAACCACGGGCATCTCAAGAAACGCCGAGCGTGGCCTGTCCTGAGCATCTCATTAGCGCTCCACAACCAATCAGACTGCAGCGAGCATCTTGTCATCTTTCCACAGCCAATTAGATTGAAGAGAACATCTCATTATCACTCCACAGCCTATCGAATTCTAGCGAGCATCTTATTATCGTTCCACAGCCAATCAGATGGCAGCGAGCATCTTATTATCGCTCCGCAACCAATCAGATTGCAGCAAACATCTCATTAGCTCTCCACAGTTAATGAGGTTGTAGCGAGCATATCCTTTATCGCTCCACAGCCAATCAGATAGCGGCATCAGCTGATAAGAACCCCGAAAAACCAATCACGATGCCAGAAAGATACTAAGCCGCGCCCTGCACTAATTCTTGGGCTGTGAGTGACTGCAGAATAATAAAAGCACGTGAACTAGTGTTTTGACGTTATCACACGAGCGCTGCGTCAGCGTTCGGCTGGGCCTCGTGTCCTGTCAATGCGTCGAAGGACGTTCGATGTCGTTCGGGCTCGGTTCCCACTTGCCGACTGGCGCCATTCGAGTGCCTGGTAACGTTACGCGGAGAAGGCTGTTCAGAAGTCTTCATTATCCTAGGCGGTGTTGTCTAGGTGCTACTGTCGAAACCGGTTATAACGAAGTCGGCTATAACAAAATAGTGGCTACAGCGAAGTGGTCACGATTTCTCATTCCTTTTGCATTTCGCTACAGCCGAAGTCGGTTATAACGAAATAGCGGATATTACGAAGTGATTTCCGATTCCCTTTGACTTCGTTATAACCGAAGTCGGTTGGTTATAACAAAATAGCGGATATAGCGAAGTGATTTTCGATTCCCGTTGAGTTTGTTATGACTGAAGTCGGTTATAACGAAATAGCGGATACAGCGAAGTGATTTCCGATTTTCGTTGGCTTCGTTATAACCGGTCTCGACATACCAGTTTCAGAACGAAGATTTGCTGGCTGACATGGCTGCGTCAGCAAATCAGTCGGGGCATTTGTTTTCGTTTTCTTAGTAATGCGAGAAACTCTTGCATCGCTATAGCATTGTTAATAAGCGTGAGTCCCACTGGATACTGATTATACATGCCGGTCGGTCGTATTTTGTATTTTTTTTTTACCTTCTGATGGATCGTTAATAAAATGACCGATACATTCAACATGGAATGTGAGCTGTGTGTAATTATGTACCAATAAAGCGTCGATTACTGATATACTTTGTAGCTTTTTCGGTCGGCTCATTGTTTTAATTGATTCATTTAGCGACTCAGGTAGGTTGCTCCATTTTATATGCATATATATCGACGTTTCGGCCTGAGACAGACCTTTTTCAAAACTGGAACAAGACATTTTCACGTGATCTCTTGTGGTGGTGATAATAATAACCGAAGATAGGATCCGACATTGCTGCTATAATAGGTTTTAAAAGGTAGTGCTTTAGGATATATTGTTATTGCCTAATTAAGTGCATAAATGACGCGAGAGATCTCTAAGAAAGTCGGCGATTGCTCCGTGTTAATGCAGACCGGAGTTGCAGCTGTTGCAACGTCTAGGGCTCTAAACTCGTCAAACACAGAGTTGGGGTCGAAGTTGACGGAGCGCACCGATTGAACTATCATGACGATGACTTCGCGCTTTTGTCGCCAGCGTCCAATGGGCGCGCTCTAAGAAATTTCGGCTCCAACTTTGTGTTTGACGAGTTTAGGGCCCCTAGACAGCAGAAAAAGTTACACCATGTCAAGGTTTGGAACCTTATTAGGGGCGAAGTTCCTTAGGGTCTAACCTTGTCCGGCGTCCGTGCTCACATCGATCGCCATCCCATTTTTTGTCTTCTTAAAAAAAAAAAAAAAATCTTTGCGCAGTTGACAGGATTCGAACCTGTGCGGGGAGACCGCAATGGATTTCTAGTCCATCGCCTTAACCACTCGGCCACGACTGCTTTTTTTTTTTTCTTTATTGCTACTCGGCCACGACTGTGGGACGACTAGGGGGCTCTGAGATGTGGTAATAACTCAAGAGCTTGGGATGTCATGGATGAAACGTTGCATGTAGCCTCTCAACGTCTATACAGAAGAGGGCGCTGCGGTCAAATGCGTATATAATCGCGTGAAACTTTCAATGCATTAGCTCAACGTTTATAGACGAGAAGGCGCTGCGGTCAAATGCTCAACTGCGTATATAACCACGATCCATACCACACATTCTCTTTTTGACATGAACCGTTGACTTAAGCGGTGGAGATGCGTTCCCACGGCTTCTACTGGATCCAAGCTGATCCGCTAGAACCATTGGCTCTGCATTTCACCGACCATAAAGCAGTAATAATGAAGTCGAAACGCAACCCGTAACTCAGCACTACCTATGAGCAATAAAAAAAAAAATCAGCACCATCAGCACTACCTATGAACAAAATCAGCATCGTCAGCACCACCAGAGCTTCGCCCCAATCAATATCATTCACCACGTGGAGATCCGGTCATTTTTTTAAGCGCAAGTTCGTCTGCTTCTTGCACAGGTGTTGCAATGATGTCAGAACGCCAAGCTCCTATTGGCTGATTGAAATACAAATAGTGGGTTGACCTCGAGGCATCTAGAAATGAGGTCTACTTCCTATCCTTCCAATCAAAGCCAATCAAACATCGGCGCCGTTCTGACATCACCGCAACCCATGCGCAAGAAGCAGACGACTTGCTCCCTGCATAGACTTTTTCAAAAAGTACAGCCTCTTACGGTCGATCTATAAATAATGCAAAGTGGCGTGTACTTAAAACCCGTAAAGAGGGCAGGTAAGGGAATAATAGAACAGTTAGAAACTTGCCAGCCTGTTGGTGTTTTTTTCTTAACACGCCCTTTTGCAGTATTTTCAGATCAACCATAAGAGGGCGTACATTTTGAAGGGGTCTAAGTTATTAGTAGAGATAAATGGCGTGGGGCTTGGGGTCGCCGACCAGATAAGAATTCGGAGTGCGCCCGCTCCTTGCGCTCGGGCTTCGATCCACTTGCTCCTTCGTCGTCGTACTCTTCTGGGTTGCTACAAGTGCTCCCCTCCTACAGAAGTAGAAGTAGCCCATGTGACGCTACGATCTCGGTGAGGTGGTACGGTGGGAGGAGTGTCATACGAAGGAAATGTTGACTTCCGTCAAGAAAAGAATTACGAAGTGAACTTTCGATGGCAGCAGCCAAATGCGCTGTCTCAAGGCGGTCGACAGATACAGTGTCTATTCGACCTCCTAAGTCCAGCACAAAATGTTTGCCTCGTCGTTCCACAACCCGAAATGGTACATCGTACGGTTGTTGTAATGACTTTCGAACTGCGTCTCGTCGAACGAAGACATGTGTGGCCGTATGGAGATCTTGTGGAACGTATATTGACAATCGCTAGCGCTTTGGCAGCATTAGACCTATTCGGTGCATGGCGGCCTTCAGTTCATCAGCGCATCTTCCAGAGTTCGGTTCGGCATGAGAATCACCCTGAGAAAAAGGATCACCTGGGAGACGTAGAGTGCTGCCATACACGAGCTCCGCAGGACTGCAATTGAGCTCCTCTTTGACTGCTAATCGGAGGCCAAGCAGGACGAGAGGAAGTTGTTTGCACCAGTGGGTTGAGTTTCCCTCTGCCTTGAGTGAGCGATGGAATCGTTCGACCATGCCGTTGGCGATAGGATTGTCGGAGGTTGTCCGGATGCGGTGTGTACCGAGAAACTGCATAAGTGAACGAAATAAAGACGATTTTAATTGTCGTCCGCAGTCTGCTACTACGTATGTCGGATGGCACACCGAATCTTCCAACCCCTCCACTCACAAGAACTCGTGCTATGGTGGTGGCGGTGATGTCAGGAATCGGATAGGCTTCTGGCCAACATGTGAACCTATCAATGCAGGTAAGTATATTGGTGTTTCCCTCTGATATAGGTAAAGGCCCGACGATGTCGAAATGAATGTTATCAAAACGTGTGGTGGCCACTGGAAATGGTTAGAAATCTGTAGAGACGTGGCGATGGATCTTTGATTTTTAGCAGCCAATACGTGTTCGCGTCCATTGTCTTACATCCTTGCTTATACTATGCCAAAGAAAATGTTGTGTTGCACATATCGCAGGGTGCGACAGACCGTGGAGTGAGTTAAAAACTTGACGGCGAAACGCCGCAGGGACAATAGGTCGCACTACTCCAGTTGACACATTGCAGAGGAGAGGCTGATCGCAAATTGGGAGTGTTACCTTTATGAGCTTCAGTTGGTTGGAGAACTGAGTGAGCAGACGGATGCCCTCGTCCCATTGTTGCGCAACAGTCATATCGGTGAAATCAGTGGTAGGGGATAACGCATTGCAATTAAAGGTGGATGAAACGCCTGACAGAGCGTCCGCTGCAGGGCTGTGAGATCCCTTGACGTGGCAAATATTAGTCGTGAATTCAGCGATGTAAGATAGGTGCCGTGTTTCTCGTGGAGAAAAGTTATCGCTGGAACATTTTAGAACGTAGGTGAAAAGTTTGTCAACAGTGAGAATGAAGAAATTTACGCCTTCTAAAAAATGTGTGAAGTGTTTGATGGCCAGGCATATTTCAAGAATTTCGCGGCCAAAGGTGCTCCAGTGGCATTCTGCAGGTTCCAATTTATTTTTAGAAAAAGGAAATAAGGTGCCAGACTGCATCGATGTATTGCTGCAGAACTGTCCCAACAGCAGTGTTGGAAGCGTTGACCATGACGTTAAGTGTGACATTCGGCTTCGGGTGAAATAGGAATGCGGCATTGGTTAGTGCTTGTTTGGCCTCATCAAATGCTTGTGAAGTTTCGGAAAACCACTGAAGAGTTATGGATGGTGTGTAGACACTTTTCAGAAGGTCACTTAGAGGTTTGAGTATCTCAGCACTGTAGGGTATAAAGCGTCTGTAAAAATTAATTAATCCTAGAAACTCTCGAAGTTGCCGAATTGTTCATGGCTTGGAAGCCTTGTATTGCTTAGACTTTCTCGTCGAGAGGTCAACGTCCATGTTCGTCAAGATGGTGGCCAAGAAAATTGATGTTTGTTACACCGAATTCCCACTTCGTATTTATTATTATTCCGGGTTCATCGAGGCGCTGGAACAGAAGTTTGAGATTATCCAGAAAATGAGTATGTTATCGAGATATGCATAACAGAACTGTAGATCTAGAGTGACTTGGTCGACGAAGCGTTGGAGAGTCTGGGCAGCATTATGGAGTAGCGATAGCTGACGGAGTAGCGATAGCTGTCTTTGGGATGTCAGAAGGGTGTACTGGTATATGGTAATACGGCTAGACGAGATCAATTTTGGAGATTTTTTTCACCATGAAGGAACGATGTGGAATCCTCGATGTGTGGGAGTGGGAAGCGATCAGGTACTGGTCGAGTTGTTTAAGGCACGATTGTCACCACAAGGCCGCCAGTCTCCAGGAGTCTCCTTTGGCACCATGTGTAAAGTGATGCCCACGGGCTCGACGAGGGTCGTATAATTCCAATTTCAAGCATGTGGGTGAATTCTTGTGCTACTTTCATGGACTCGGTACAGTGTCTGGATTGTAACTGTAAGCCTTTAGCATACGATAGTTCAGTTCAAAATTTAGGCATCTTCGTTGACGAACACATGCCGTGGAATGCGCAGATGAAATCTGTTGTAAAAAAAAAAAAAAAGCTACGAGTCTTCTTTGCGTACTTGTATCAACTCAAAAGTAAGTGCAGCTTGAAGATAAGATTACTTGTGTTTAAATCTTCGGCGGAAGGCGCATTACGGTACGATATTACACTGTACGGTCATTGTCCAGAATATAAAGCAAGAGCGATAGATAGGATACTAAAGCACTTGGTAAACAACATATCATATGGAACTTCATATCAAGTATTGCAAACTCAAGAGAAAGCTAAAGAGTTGGGCACTTTGCTTTTTAAAAGATTTTTCGCATACGTAGCAAAAAAAAAAAAACTATTTCAGTAATTCCCACAAAACTGCCGTAAATAAAGATAGAAATTTCAGAAGAACTGAAAGGTACGTCATTCCGAAAATATAGACGCTGTATGGAAAGAAACATAGAAATCATTACATTATTTTATTATTTAACGAACTTCCAGAGTCCCTTATGAATGTAACATCCACTAGAGTATTGAAAAGAAAACTAAAAAAATTGGTGTCAAACATCTGACTTGTAGATATCGTACCCTCACCGTTGTAAAAATTTCGTGCTTTTGTTTTAATGTTGCATGAGTAGA